TTAAGAACGAGATTCTGGAAATGGTCGACAGAGCCGTAAGTTGACCATATCTGACGCCAATCGCCAAGCTAATCGATTCCCTCTAGGACTCCGAGTATACCTCGCAGATCGTCAATGTTGACCGCCTGTATCATCGTCAGCTCTTGGCTCGTCTCGGCGAGATTGACGAGCTCGAGGGCAAATACAACTGCAAGATTGTGTTCCCTAGCACTGAGCAGGCTAGCGATGAGGTCACTGTAACTGGTCCACAGTGGCAGGTGCCTCATTGCGTCGATGAATTTTTGGTACGCCCACTTGAGACCTTTGCAGTGGATCTCTCATACTAACACTCTGTCTAGGGCATGGTTCCTGACAACCATGAGTTGGTTCTCACCCGCACCCCTGAGTTCATCAAGTTCCTTGAGTCGCCCAGCTTCGCCCACGACCTTGTTCCGAAACTGAAGACGCAGTACGAAGTCGAGGTCACTGTCCATCAGGATGCTGATTCTGAGGATGGCTTGCCGGCTCTCGCCTTGCGCTGGACGTTTACTCGCAACAATGCCGGCGGCCTGCGTGACGCCATCGACTTCCTTCTTGCTCAATTTGCTACTGCTGGCGTTGAGGTGACCATTTTGAAGGGTTCAATCCCCCGGCCCAAGTCCGATTCATTCGAAGACTCGCTTCAGTACTTTGACTCGAAGCTTCTCCAACATGCTCCCGCCACCATCGCCGCCGATTCCCCAACCAAGGCGGCCTTCGAGGGGGAGGTTGCTCGCGAGCGGGGCACGATCTTTGATCGTCTTCGCAAGCCTGGCAGCATGACCTCCATCTCGTCCTTCTTGGACCGCCGCAAGAACAGCTCCCACTCGACCCACGCCAACTTTTTCAAGGGATCTAGCAATGTGTCCAAGTCTTCTCTTATTTCGATCGAATCTACCCGCAGCTTCAATGCGGACAGAAACCCCTGGAACGATAGCGGCGTTAATCTTCCAGACGACGACAACCCATGGGCCCACCGCCCCATTGGGAATGGTTCTGACAAGCTGACCATTCCCCAACCTGGTGACGTTACGCCACGTCACAGCACTCGAGCGTCCGGCGACAGCGGGCGCCCTTCTACGTCTCATTCTACGAATTCTGGATACCCCGGTCCCATCGGACCTTTCCGTTAGATTCCCGTCTTAGAAAATCTACTACGTGCAAAATACCCCGGCTGGATATACCCTGGCGTACAATACCCCCGGAACGTTGCTTCCGATGCATCGGTCGGCCGAAGTTATTGTTTTGCTTGCTTTGCTGCTGTTGCTCTTATCGTACTTTGTTTTACTTGATTTAGTTTCTTAGTCTTGCGGGTTTCGATAGTCGCTATCGCACGTGTTAACGTCCACTCTTTATACCCCCGAAGTCAAAAGGCGGAGGACAAAAAAGAAAAGATACCTTGTTTGCGGTTTGGCTTTGTTTGTTTATGCATTCAGCGCTCCTGGCGACCACGGTCACAGGGGAATCGAAAAAGCGAGAGGTCGAGGGGTCACATGGTTTCGCCCATAACTCGATGTTGATATTTCAGCAGCCAGGTCTCGCAATCCTCTACAGATCTATTCAATATAGGTCAAGCCCCGCACAAGATTTTGTCTCCTGCCGCCAAAGGAGTTGAAAAGTAAGGGCGTGCGAGGTCCTGAGGCCAGCAAGGAGTGTCAATTGGGAAGAGATGGAAATAGGCCGTTATACTCTCAGTGTGTGGGTTGGCTCAGCAAGTCCGCCAGGCGGTGAAAGGGAAAATTGTTATGGCGGCAGGCCAGTATGGCGCAAGATTCAGCGGCTGACTGAACTGCAAGCGGGAGATGACGACGGAACCGTATGGATACCTGCAGGCCTTTTTTTAGTTTGACCTTGAAATGCAACGATACCCATGGTCATTCAAACCACTGTTCCTTATTCTGTGTGATGTGTAATTGCTGATGGCAGTTGGAGCTGTGAGGTTATCACTTCAACATAGAGGACCACGAAAGGCGATCTTTGAATCGATGAGTTGCGTTCGACTGGCACGAAACAGCTGTCACGGTTTAAAGTTGAGACCAAATGCACAGCCAACGGTTTGGCGAACCCCCTTACTTCCCATGGTACCTTTCTGACGCAGAGTGCTGTTGGCAATGGCGATCTAGGACGTATCTTCAAACATTTTGGGTATCACAGTCGGTCAGTCTCAGCAGATGCTCCCCAGATTGTATATTCCCAAGAATGTTGTACAAATTTTCCTCGTCTTGCAATCTCTCTGTTGCAAGGCTCTATAGTTTACACATGCACGCCGGCATAGGTCCAGACGATAACCCTCCAAAAGCTGTCATCTTACAAGATTCATGCCCCAATCCCCTTAGCAGGAGACAGCCCCCTCGAACCTCACAACAACTAGATTACCCATGTAGAAGCCTAGTCCCCAGTCTCTCAACCATGGAACATCGAATCAAGAAGCAACTGGTCCAACAGAGACCTTTTCCTGCCGCGTCCTCGCCTCCAACTGTGCTTTTTTATCGTGAGACCGCTGGACGCGCCGCTTCTCCGTCTTGAGGCTCGCGAACCGGCCCTTGGCACCGTGCTTGATCTTGGTAATCATATCAGTCGCCTTGCCCTTGTCTACGTCGTCGGCCGTCAGGGGCTCCTCCTTGAGCCGGAGTTTGTTGAGAAAGTCGAGCTGTCCCTGCGTGGGCGGGCCCTTGCGCCACCGTTGCCAGCGCTGGACGAATGTGTGAGGGTAGATTTCCGAGTTGGAGACGTAGTTATCGCTACCGTGGACCGCGTCGGCAAAAGTTGCTGCTTGGAGGAGCTCGCGAGGCGCGGAGTAGGGGGATTTGGCGACGCCTGGGGGCAGCGAGCGGATTTCGACGGCTTGCCACAGGAGCTGCTCCTTGCTTTCATCGTCACTGGTCTTGGTTTGGGCGCCGGCTTTGAAGAGTCGAATGTAGGATCCGTTTGGCGCGCAGAGGACGTACTTATCTTGGCCGACTTGGACCCACGCGTACTGACTTATGGCCCGTATGTGCTGCTCGCCAGATGTGTCCTCGATCAGATCAAATACGGAGTCGTAGTCAGTGAAAGTGACCGATCTGGTGGGCGTAGTTGATTGAAGCGCAGGAGTATTAGAATAAGCTTGGTCCTGACGGAGCTTCTCTGCTTCTTTCCTGTCCTTAATCTTCTCCATATCGGCCGTAGTCGCTTCGCTAACCAGCTCGCTCGGATCCAGACCAAAAAGCGTTGGTGTAGTGATGATGCCGGTTTGGAGACTGGAAACCATGTCGATAACATGGCAGTCGGACTTCCCCTTATGTAACCTCATGCCTCTACCGATCATCTGCACCAGAAGGTTACGAGATCGTGTTGGACGAGCAAGAATGACGCAGTCGATGTTTGGGATGTCGGTTCCTTCTGTGAAGACTCCGCAATTCACAAGCACGGGGAACTTCCGATTTCGGAACTCCTCGAGAATCTCGGCTCTCTCGACTTTGTGCGTGTCTCCTGTCACAAACCTTGCGTCGTAGCCGTGTTTGCGGAATGTTTGCGTCAGGCCAGCGACGTGCGCAAGGTCGACGCAAAAGACCAGAGTCGATTTCCGATCGGATGCCTTGGCCAGCCAGCTCCTCACGGTGATTTCGTTGATCTGGTCCGTATTGACGGCCCTCGATAGTTCTCCCTGCTGGAAATCGCCATTTGCACCATTCTTGACCCTAGATAAGTCTGCTGTCGATTCCACGGTGGTGAACATGACAGCTGAGAGCCACTTGTCTCCAATCATATCTACATAATCCTTATGATAGACGATCTGGTCAATCGCGGCGCCCAACTTGAGGCCGTCAAATCGAGAAAAAGTGGCAGAAACGCCCACCAAAGACGGCGAGTCCATCTTTTTACTGTCGAGTCCGAAGTGACGCAGTACTCGCATGTAACCTGGTGCTACAATGTGATGCGCCTCATCGACGAGCACGAGCTTGAATCTTTTCGGATCAAACTTGTTGAGTCGGTCCCCGGACGTAAGGCTCTGTAGGCTGGCAATGGTGATGTCTGCGGCGCCAGAAGCATGCATGGAGCCCATCTCGATCTCCACGGTGCTGTCGGGGTATGCATTGGTGCAGTGCCTTGCCGCCTGCTCTACAAGCTCCCTCCTGTGAGCGAGAATGAGGGTCTGCGTGGCAATGGCTTCCCTTGGTTGGATTCTTTCAATTAGCTGGGTGAAGATAACCTGAAGTTGTTAGTTGCCTGTAATCATCAAACGTCATTTCAGGCACTGACCGTTTTGCCACTACCAGTAGCCAGCGAAATTCCTAATCTCTTGTGTCCATCTTTGAGGGACTGTAGCACGGATTGAATGCATTCTTCTTGATAGTCTCTCAGCTGTATCCGAGAGCTCGCAAATCGTGCTCCAGCATAGGGAACATGTCTCTCAACAGAGGTTCTGATGAGAATGGGAAGTCTCAATTCATTTACGCTGAAGGAAGGCGTCAAGATTTTCCGTGTGGCAAATGGTATCATGATGTGATGGCCTCCATTCTAGAAGAAGTTAAACATGAAAAAGGACGTTAAAGTAAGGTAATGAGTGTAGTTGGTTGTCGCCGTTGCGGAAACCTGGATGTGCAGGAGAGCAAGGGGCGCGCAGTTGCTCCAATCGATTGCCACAAATTATCCCCACACTCCCTAGATAGTACTTTCCTAGATGTACCCGAAGTTTCCTGGTAACACTCACACAGCAATCTTAGGTGCGCGCCTGTTAGAAGCACACAAGGAGGAACCTATGGTCCGCAATGCTGGGAAATCTTCCATCTTACAACACTGAGGCATCGCTCATCTCATATCAACTAAGAGACCTCATGTATCTTCGAGGCAGCCACCGATAGCACACATCAAGCCTGGAACCCAAAACGCAGGACTCGGCTTCTATGAGGCAAAAATTCTTACATGCTGGTGCTCTCATCACAACATGTACGCGACACACCGCCTAGGCCGAATTGTCGACTTCAGATTTTCAGACGAGAATGAGCATGGGGCCGGATCACGACTATTTGCAAAACCAGGACCCAGGAGACCATGACCTTGAGGACCTTGATAAGTCACCACCAAAACGGCAAAAGTTTGAACATCAGGAACAGCATTTTGCATATTCCGTCGCATCATCTGGCGACGATGAAAGTGGCACAGACGAAGGCCTCTCAAAACAAAAGCGACGGGCGCAAGATGAGATCGTGGAACCAGTTCTTAAGCGTCACAAAGGCGTCTTCAACAACAACTACTTGGATCTCTTGAACGGGGATATCCAAGATGTCGTTCATCACACAGCTTTCGGAGGAGACGATAATCTGCCCCCTTCGCAGATTGGCCTGACAACTTGGACGTCGTACGAGAAGAAGCTCTTCTTCGAGGCTCTCTCGAGACTCGGCAAGGACGACTTACCGGGCATCTCGGCCAAGATCCAGACCAAGAGTGAGATCGAAGTCCGCCAGTATATCCTCCTCCTGCAAGAGGCTGTTGAGGGAAGGGACAAAGAGCAGGACGGAGGCAACAAGCCAATACATCTAGCAGATTACCCTGCAGCCCTCGAGATTAGTCCGCTATGCTGCCACGCGCTCGACCAAGCAGCCGACGCACTTTCGTTCCGTCAAGAACGACACGAGGAGCTCGTCGAACAGAAGAAGTGGGGGGAGTGCTGGAACATCAACCTGGAGCTCGCGAAACGCATCGAAGGCGACCACGGACTGGACAAGGACCCGACCTTCGCGAGCGATCACGGACTGTCTTTCACCGAGGTCCTTCGGGTGAAGAGCTTCCTTCGTCTTCCCGAGCGCATCTTCATGAACGCATCCAATGCAGAGAATAACTGGCAGTACGTTAGCGAGGAACCGCCAACGATCAGAGCAACGGCATTGCAGGATTTCCACTCCCTTCTCGTTTCTGTCACCAAGAAAATTATCCTCACTACACTTTATATTGCGCAATCCCGGATCCGAGCCAGGAAGCACGTTGAACCATCGACGAGGAATCTGGTCAGGCGCAAGGACGTTGAGGCGGCAGTCGCATCGCTGGGTATGAAGCAGAACAGCAACGAGTTCTGGACAACATGTGCACGGAGGTTACGACTTCACATCTGCGATGACGATGCCGAAGATGTTAGGGACGACGAGGATGAGGAGCCAATGCCATATGACCGCGTGGAAAGCGTCTTGCGCAGGGAAGTGGATACCGAGCATCCGAGCCAGAGCTTCCCGACACCCCAGATCAAATTCGAGAAAGACGAAATGTCGGACTCGGCAGATGATGAGGACTCCGTCTTGGAAGAATCGAGTGATGAGGCACCTGCAATCATGGACGACGCAGAACGCGAGGCCGTCGAGGAGGCTAACGAGGTACTCGTCTACTCCGCGTACGACTTCCCCGAGACACATCGCACGAGAGAAGCCTTGAAGAATAGGATCAGGAACGAGCTGGCGCAGGAAGCGTATGCAGAGGCCGAAGATGCAAAGGCGAGCCGCGAGTACGAGTCGGACATGTGGCGGCTCCTGCAGCGACAACCCCCCGAGCCGTTCGTCAAGACGCAGACCACAGAGCCTACTAAGCAAGTAGCCAGGGCTGTGGAAGATGTGTACGATGTCGGGCGGAGATGGAGGGAGAAGTTGACGTATCACAGCGAGTGGGAAATGCTCGGCACGTCTCAGTTTCAGGACAAGAAAGCATGATCCCGGGTTTGGTCGTTGAGTTTGGTTCCTGTTCTTGATACCCATGGATTTGGATTTATCTACTTTTTGTTCTTCTTCTTATTCCAAGACCATCGTCCCATGCTATCTTATGCTAGTGAGTGAGACAATAACACGAGGCGTGTCTGATTACAATGTTCGTACCCAGTGAAGCATTCGTGAAGTCGCATATCGCGGCGGGTATCTTTATTCCACTAGGTCTGTCTTTATGGACAGCCGCCAGCCTGTTTGCTGTGGCGGGTGGGACTACAGTCGACTTTAGCTAATGCATCCGACCTCGTTGCTAACGTCCCCGACCCCGTCCTCTACCTCGGCCTCTGCCTCTGCCACGACCTCGGGCAGCACCTCTTGTCGAACGCGATACTGGGGTCCCGCTATCTTCGGCGCTCTCCTCTTCCTCCTCGTCTCCATCATCGGAGTCTCCAGAGCCGCCAGAGTCACCGGCATCACCAGAGCCACTACCATCGCCAGAATTGCTCCCATCACCTTCCTCTTCCTCGTCGCCGTCGTCTCCATCTTCTCCGTCTTCAGCCTCATTGCGATCATCTTGCTCTTCTTCGTCCGAGTCGGAACCGTCCTCATCCCCGCCCGAGTTTTCGTCATCATCGTTGTCATCTTCCGAGTTCGTCGAGTCGGCCTTTTCAGCCTTGCCAGCTTTCCCGCCCTTCTTGGGTTTCTCTGCCTTCGCCGGCTTCCCGGACTTCTTTGGCTTTTCAGGCTCTTCGACCTTCTCAGCTTTCTCGGCTTTAGCCTTGCCGGCAGCCCTCTTCTGACTCCTGGCCACCCGCGCCGATTTTGGAGGCGGCGACGCAGTGTCTGTGCCAGCATCTTCCGTATCCTCGACGGTGCTGGCGCGAGTCTTGGTCACTGTGGAGGCGCGCTTTCGCCGCCTGGTGTTTCCGCCAGTGTTGCTACCGCCGGGAGAGGGCGGTGGTGGTGTAAGCTCGAATTCGGGTGGTGAGGTTGGAGGTTCACTAGCATCGGCAAGGCGACGCTCCATCATCATATCGTCAAACTCGTCGTATGGAAGAGTGAACTCCTTGAATCGGTCGTCATAGTTGTCATCTTCTTGGGCGTCGTAGAAGTCTTCTCGCTGGTCGATCGTCTTAAGGTCGTACAAGGTGCGTAGCTTCGTCCAGATATGGGGGATACGTGTGTGGGTGTAAAAGTCGGGGTCAATTCCGTGATTCCGCAAGTGCTCGCTGATAGCAATCATCCTGAAGTGTTTGTGCATGCCTACGATTTGACTGTCAGATTCAATTGGGATTGCTAGTACCGATGAACTGACCTGCTGGTTTCCACCGGATAACTCCTTTGTAAAGAGATGAGAGTTGGTCGTCGGTCCACAGATTGTTTGGCCACTCATCCGCAGAAGGCTTGATCGGAGGCGCGCTCGCCACGGGAGTATCTGCAGCAGGTGTATCGACATCCATGGCATCTTCATCGCGAGCTGGCGTTGGCGTTGCGACAGCAGACACACTGCTGCGCACCTTCTTTTTGGGAGGCATGGCAGCGAGGGCCAGCGGCGTGGATTTACAGAGAATGCTCTTCCTGTATTCTGGCGCGTGTATATGTGGTGCTCGATGATGATATGGAGGAAGTAAGGCTGTCGTTCAGATGCTTCGGTACATGTTGAAAAAAGAAGCTTCGGAGGATGAGAGCTCTAGCGGGTTGAGGCATTGAGAGCTCTCGATTGGTTCCACCTGCTTTCCCGCGTCGCAGGGTAGGTACCTTTTGAGTCTTAGGCTCTTCAGCCGCCAGGAGCCAAACCTGCGGGGATGATCGGAATCGGGCAGAGACATGCAGGGGTCGTGCTCAGCAGGTTGTGCTTGAATGTGACGCGCCAGATCGCGTCGCGGGGCCCCTAGCTGCTCATTTAGCTTTATCCCTAAACGTGCCTGGGAGAAACGTCATATCGAACCTGAATCCTCAGAGATGCAATGTCACTGATTGCAGGCTTTGCGCCCCATATCCGTCTACGCCAATGTTCCACATCGCAATATCACCGTCGGCACAACCATGTTCGAGGAAGATGACCTTTCAAACGTCTTCGCGATTCCAGACTTCCGGAAGCCGTCCAAATTGCTAAATGACCAATTGCCAAGGGCCGACACTGGCTTCTTTGCTCTCGACCTGACAGGTAGAGCCTCTCGAACCCAAGATGATCTTAGTCGTCATACTGACCTACTTCATGTTCAGCCCCAGAGTTGCCTTCTTCATGCAGTCCTCCCGATCCTCAGCCCAGCGAACTCTTCACACTCCCTGCCATAGACCCTGCACCGCAGCAGGAGGAGTCGAACACGGACCAGATCCCCGATTTTACGTTTGAAGAGCCCACAGCAGAGGAAGAGGCAGAAGTGGCCGACTTCTGGTTGGAATTTGACAAGCCCGCCGCGAAGCTACCAGACTACCAGACTTGGGAAGGCTTCCAATCTCCCGACATACCCTCGAAAAAGCCGTTGTTCATAACTGAGGCTGGGCCTGGGGCATTTGATGCCTTGATTGGGCTTCAAGAGGATCCTCTACGTATTGGAAGTGCTGACTTCACCGTGGTGGAAGCTGGGACATATTGCAATGCGCTTCTAGCTTTGGCTCTGGGAAGAGACTCAGTGTTCTTCTCCTGGCAAGACGAGCATGAAGCCTTCAAGCCAGCCTTACCCCGGATCAGGATACCGGCATATTCGGGTAAGGCTGTCCAGGAAGTTCAGCGTTCGTGTCTTAAGTGTGGCAATACATATCGTCAACTTCGCAAGTTTGTCGACAGCACGTATTTGAAGAACCCGACTCCATGCCGCGTTGCTTTGGCGAGCGCTGTGGACAAGGCCCTGTTGGTTATCCAAAGCAGTGTCGCCTTGCATCACCAACACCCACGGTCGATTCTCCAAGTTCAATCGCTCGTCGCGCACACATACACTACTTTGCGCCAGTTTGAGTCCTTGGTGTCAAAGATACGACGAGATCATCTAGATGAAGATGTTTTCGTCATTGTATTCCAGCAGGCTCAATCTGCTGAGTACGCCGAGACCCATCTCAGAGATATGATGCGAGAAGTCCTCCGGCGAGTATCAAAACCCTGGATTGAGCTTGTCGAAGAGTGGATCGGCACACGGCGTGAACTTGGCGTTCCTCTGAGCAAACACGAAGTTGGAAGACAAAAGGGCTTCATCAAGGTGGAATCCGAAACCCATATGGACGATTTCGGTGACGAGGTCGACGAGGTCGATTTCCGCCTTGATACTGAGCGAATACCTAGCTTTATGCCGGAAGATGTTGTCAAATCTCTATTCGAGGTTGGACGAAATCTTCGTTTCATAAGGTCAAATCATCCCGGACACCCTTTGTCACAAGAGAGCATTATCTCTTCAAGTCGACCCCCGACAGTTGAGTGGCTTTTTGATTGGGACTCGGTCGTGCAGTTGGAGGATAGGATCCGATCATATGAAAGTGCGGTTCTTGAAGCCATCAAGAACTTTTCTCTGCAGGGATCAGTCGAAACAGCGGCACCAGCTTGGCCGATTGGAAACTCAGCGACCTATCAATTGCAGCTGTTTGGTCTAGACGAGAATCAGCTACAAAGCAGATTGGCTTTATCTATTCAGGACTTCGCCAAACCGATTGCCGACTCGACGTCCGAAGACCTGCTAGGCATCATCATTCGGGATCGCTTGTCTGATGTTACGACCGAGATCGCCAGTGCAGGCACTGATTTTACACCGCATTGGTCACTGCTTCCGATCCTCTCCTTCGGGTCCATCATATCTGCGCAATCTAGAGTCGTGGGCAGGGAAAGTCTGAAACTGCTCTTCACATCCCACAACTTGCGCGAGCATCTGAAGCTTCAGAAAGAGTTCCACTTGTTGGGTAACGGATTCTTCTGCAGCCGCCTCTCCCATGCCCTATTCGACCCAGATCTCGAGACGGCAGAGAGACAGTCTGGTGTTGCTCACCAAGGCGGAGTCATGGGATTACGATTAAGCGGTAGGGACACTTGGCCACCCGCCAGTTCTGAGCTACGCTTGGCCCTGATGGGAGTATTAACGGAAAGTTATGAGGGATCGCTGCACGAAGATTCAAGACCTCGAGATGGCGAAAAGAACGAACTCCCCGGGGATCTTAGTTTCGGAGTCCGGAGTCTCTCAAATGAGGAAATCGACAAATGCATGGATCCTACGGGACTAGAGGCCTTGGACTTTCTCCGGCTATCCTATAAGTCACCTGCAGCTTTAGGGGCTATTATCGCCCCCGTTATTCTGGTGCAGTATGACCGAATTTTCAAACTGCTACTTCGGGTGCTGCGGATGCAATATACTGTCAACCGTATCTTCCGCGATGTCACGGCTAGGGAGTCGGGCTGGCAAGATGTCGATGACGTATCTATTCGCTTCTGCTTTGAAGCTCGTCACTTTGTATCCAGCCTCAGTTCCTACATCTTCGATATTGGCATCGGAATGCCGTGGCAGGCATTCGAGAAACTACTGAGCCAAATTGAGATGGATCTCAGGGCCGAAGACCAGAGCACAGTCTCTACCTCAGTCCTTAGCCCTGATCGCCTGAGGGAACACCATTCTCAAGTGCTTGATCGAATCATGCTTGCACTACTCTTGCGCAAGCGGCAACAGCCTGTGCTCAAGCTTCTCGACGACATTTTCCGGGTCGTGTTGAAGTTCGCCCAATACTCGAGACTCCAAAACGAAGGGCGGAAATCTCGTGGTCAAGGTGACGCTACCGCCAAGGGCCTATACAAGATGTTTAAGCGGAATGTCGAGGTTTTCTTGGCGGTTTGCAAGGGCCTGAGTGAAAAAGGAGATTACGGAACGAAGGATACAGCTGGAGAGAAGCTGTCCTCAGGAAGAGTTGACGCACTAGAGGGAAACCCCATAGCTCAGCTTGTACTGAAGCTAGACATGTCTGGCTACTACTCTAAGGCATGATCGTTTGATGAGGAACGGTTGGACTATTGATGAACAGATAAGATACCCCAGGCGTTAGATCAATAATTAGCCACCATGTTGGAGTTCCATTATTTTCGCTTACAGTATCTATTATATCACCCTGTAACAATGATCCAAATAAGGGAACCGGTGCATTGAGATCTGATAGCAAAGACTTGGGATGACAAGCGGCCCCGAAGCGGAACATGGACGGGACAGGAGGCTAAGGTAGCCTGCCCCGCCAAAGTGATGCCCCGGCTCCGAACCCCCTGGCAGTGCCCCGCATCGCGTATCCCACCTGCCCGCGTTTGTTGATTTACTTCCCTCCTTTGGACGAAAGAAATCGTGCACTTGAACAAAACAAACTGAGCTCTCTTATTGCGACCCTCAAGCTCAACAATCGCCGAACAAGCTAGCACCATGGCTCGTCCCGGCCCCTCCGCACGGAATCTCACTCTCACAGAAGAGTTGGAGAAGTTAGAGCAGTCTATCACCTTGACTCTCCAGGGTAAGTACACCGCATCGAAGAGAACTTGGCCTATCCATTTCAATTCGGCTAACCGTTCCCTAAGAAATCGACCACAACTTTAGCAAGGCGCACCGTATCGTAACCACGAATATCTTGCCCATTGTAGAGCAATATGGCGAGCATTCGCGAAACGTTTGGGATGCTTCGAAGGTGTGTTGCGCTTATTTCTGTGACATTCTCATACTTTGGCACTCCAGCATCGCTAATACACAGCGAACCTGCAGTTCTGGAAACAATTCTTCGAGGCCTCGGCCAACGTTTCCCTCTCCGGTTACGAAGAGAACGCCAACAATGGCAATGATGAAACCGGCGCAACTGAAGAGGAGTCGACCGTTCAAGAAGATACATCCGTCGACTATACCCGCACACCCCAACAACAACGCACCGAAGGCGAAGACATGACCATAGTTTCGACCGCCGACTCTACTTTCCGTGCAGACGATTCCGTACTCGATGACAATGACCTCACTGGCAGCACACCCCGGCCACCTAAAACAAAGACGATGAAGCCGCAGTTCTCAAACCTCGAATCCCCCTACGAGACACTCAAGCGCGAGCTGAAAGGCGAGCCACCTGCACCGCACGAGGAGGACGACGAGAACGAGGATCTTGGACTCGAGGAGGACTCAACTGTCCTCTTTGCGCAGCACACGGCCCGTCTTCCGGACATGTCCATGACACCACGCTCCTCGTTCGCGCCGCCGCAACAGCAGCAGAGCCACAAGGACCCTCTCATGCACCGCATGCTTGATAAGACGTTCCGCATCCAGGCTACGCCGCACAAGGGTCCCACTTACCGCGTCTCGCCGCTGAAGCGCGACGACAAGAACAAGGAGAAGGAAAACGTACCTGCATGGCAGCAGGACTCGCCCATGTCCTCGCCGGTCATGGCCGTTCCAAAGCTACGTAGCGAGGCCTTCATGTCTCCTATCAAGAGCAATGCCAGACAGCGTCTTGCTGCCGCGACTGCATCTGCGGGACCGCGAACCCCGGGCGTGAGCGTGCAAACCCCAGGTGGTGCGAGGAAGACCAAGGACGTGTTTGCTACCAAAGGCAACTACGATGACGATACGACTACGGATCTCGGTGCCAAGTTTGATAAGCAAAGGTACGAGATCGACTGGGAAAGCGATAGTGACGAAGACCATGGGCTGTATGGCGGTATGAGTCCGCCCAAGACCATCCAGTTTGCACTTCCGCCGTCGAAACTGCTTCAGACCCCTGGTGAGTGGCTTTTTGTTTAATAAGAACAAGCTCTGCAGTGATCGATCCGTTTACTGACGAAATTTACTAGCTCGCGAGGCCAGCAAGCGCATTGTGGACGATATTCTGCTTACGGCTGGCGCCGAGCCGGAAAGCTCAGAGTATAGTCCTACGATGGTCAAGATGAACGAGGACATTCTCAATGAAAGCTTTTGATCCTATTTGAGAATATATAAGGCTACCTTACTGATAGACAAGATACCCTGAGTAACATTTATGGAACTCTTTGATTCTGATCCTTTCCGAGGATATTCGCTCCCATCAATCTAAGCATAAATCGGTATAATACGTGTTGCTTCGGACATTTGCCATGTTGTAGACGTCGAAGAACGTAAGAAATATTTTAACCCAGAAAGACCCCATCTGAATGGCGATTATTCCAGCGCGGCCGTCTAAAATGTAAGAAACCAACTCCCAAAACTCCTGTAAGTCCCATCATACAAGCATGGCGGCGGCACCATTTCCTTCTCCCGCCGCCGCATTCCATTTCAGTATTTTCTCATGTTTCCGTATATTCAATGGTTCTGCTCTTGCCAAGACGGCTCTTTTACAAGTCGGTGCGGATAGAGGAGGGCCAGTATGCAGCCTGCGAGTACATGATTTGCGTATTCGCGTCCTCGGCGGCCCGTTGGCGGGCAATCAGGGATGAAGACTTTTTAGATGATGATGATGATGATGATCTTGCCGAGCCGGCGGAGTGCTTGTTCAGTTTGCTCTTGAGGAGGGACATGGAGCTGCCGAAGCTTGACATTGAGGCGGCGTCTGCCTCCTTTTGATAGGGGGATGAGTAGGAGGCGGAAGAAGAAGAAGAGGCCTTTGAACCCTCTTGTATCGCGGAGAGGAGAGCGTAGCTGTGGCGGGTGTCGCCGGTAATGGAGCTGGAGAAGGTGGAGTGCATTCCGGACATGGCTGCTTTGATTGTTTGGGTTTGTGATGGTTCGGAGGAGGGATTAATGGTGGGTGGTTTTGTTCGGATAAAGCCTTGGAATAGAATAGGTGATCTTGGTATCAAGATGGGAGAAGTAGTGTTCGATTGTCTGATTGATTCTGAATTGTTTTGGTGTTGATGAGGATGATCCAGAAAGACAAACTTGAGGATGAAGCATGGAAAGGTCTCTTACTTATACCAAGTCGATCCCATAGTTTTGAAATTCAAGACCTGAGAGTACGGTACTTTCCATGACTTACACACTTTGGGACTATGGACTTGAGATGTGGGTACGCATCTTGCTGGAAACCAGGTACCATAGCCCCCCAGCTGCGCGTCTCGATACGGCGTCATCGGTAGTCGTGGTCGTGGTCGTGGTCGTAGATGGGAAACCCTTTGCAGCTCGGAGGTGTGGAGCAAAGGGGAATTCGCAGGAAAGGGAGTCACGCGTGGCCGCCCGCAAGTCTGCCGGCCGGTATCCGTAAGGTAAACGGTTCCCAGAGCAGCGGGTAAGCCTACACTACGAACAGAACGAACATCCGGAGCGGCACTTGCGAACAGGGGGGACCAGAACAGGACGAATAGACGTTGTTCGGTAAGATAGAAACAGCCGTGTGAGTCATTACGCCCATGCGTCCTATTGTGCCTCATGCGCCTCGATGCAAGCTTGCCAGCCTCATTAGAGTCACGTATGCGAATCTTGGGACTCTGTGATACCGAAGAGTGCGTATGCTCCATGTAAGCCATACAAGGCGGAAGTGTAGGTTAGATCCTTGGAGGTGATCGTCTTGGGAGCCTCTAGGGGGATGGGGCCGGGGATAAGGTAAGCGCCCCGGGGTGAAGATGCACCGGATGATGTGTACTTTCATAGAGATAGGGTTTGATGGGAGAAATGGCTTACGTCCGTTTGTAGAATTTCCGAGTAGACTATCTTACCTCCGGTACGAGTTTGCTGACAGACACGTCTGCCTGACGAGAAGCCCCATCAGCGGCAGCAAGCCCCCCAGCAAACTCAGAGCACCCAGGCCTACTCTGCCTAGATTCGCGTAACACTTCTTAGGCTTCAGCTGCATATCTACGGCAACGAAAATGTATCAAGTGTCAAGTGTGCATTGTTTTTTCCCAAAGCTTGTGGTTGGTTCATCGCGAATGCCATGTGCGGCGTCATGGGAGTGTCAGTCGGAGTAAGATGCCGCCGACTTGGACTCGGAAGTGCCTACCGCACCGTAGCCCTCCCGCGATGTTTGGCCTCGTTTGAATCCATGCCAAGAATGCGGTGAAAAGATTCCCCAATTGTCAACTCAGTCACCCAATGCTTTGCGCCGAAATTTTCTTCACTGCAAAAGTTTCCTCCTCTGGCCTGCGTACGTAGCCGCACTTACACGGCCTTGATCTTGGTGTACGGGTCGCAATCTTGCATCCCGCTCATATCCGGGCTGACTCACTCCGAGTCACCTACCCCACCCGCCTTGCATTTCAGCAAACGGTTTCTATACTTCTTTTTCCCTCTTTCGCTGCTCGAGGTGGTGTCGTCAGGCGTGGTGGGGCCGGGTGACGAACGCTCGCTTCACAGACAGATCGGGGCCGGTGCCGAATCGCCCATGGGCAACAACGAGACCTTGTTCATTTTCTCTCTTCTTCTCGAAGCGTCTCGAAGAAGCTTGCCGATGGCTTCAATAGTCTTGCCGGGCACCGGGCTCCTATCATTGGAAGTGTTCACTCATCACACTGATCCCAATCAGAAGAGATGATCCGGCTGTATAACCGCAGCGGGAAAAGATCAGACGACATTTGTTAGTGAATCGGGCGTTGATCGTCCAAAGACCCGGGCTTTGCAATGATGAAAACTTTCGACACCGGGCGCCGAAGAAACTTTGTTATTCGGCTAAAAACAAGCTTAATTATGATGGGGGGATGTTGCTTCGTCTACCCATACCGTAACGTGACTACGCAATATCGTTGTTCTGTTCGTTGTACTTGCGGTCAAACCGTCAGCATCCCTGACTGATGGGGGCCGCGTGGCTGGTTAGGTGCGGCGTAATCTGTACATCCAATGCGACGCGCAATTTGTTGGTGAACTTGATTAACTTGGCTACGTCAACAGGTCATCTAATTAAACTCTGTTTGCCAGAGTTTGAAATCCAGTCTACTGCATCTGCTTCTCACCCGATCTATTCATCAGCTCTTCAACCTCTTCAGTTATAACATCATTATTCCCGGCTTTGCAATATCTTGCTTCATTGGCCGCTCCACATGAGACTTCACGTACATCATGGGACTCAGACACGACAGTTTTTCTTGTTTGTGGGCGATGGAAGTAGGATTCGGAGGACGAGGCGTTGCAAAACTCATATCAACGTGATAGATCACATGAGGTATCTCAGTAAGGCTCCGCTCCCCTGCGAGGTGAGGCTATGTGTCTTCATCATCAGCACGCGCAAAAGACGCAAAGAGGCTTCGGTGATAGTTTATGTTGAAGGGATGGGAGGAGATTCATTCACTCCAGACATCCCGCTTGCGATTGTAATTGATTAACCACGAGAGGCTCTGAAACGAGAGACGCTTGAACATCGATCCAGCAGGCAGAACCACCATGGCACGAAGACACTCGGACAAGCTGGAATTGCGCTCTAATTACACCGGGTCTGAAGCCAGGGAAAGGTGTTGGTTGATGCTAAAACGCATCGAAATTGTAAGGCTCTGCTCATAGCTGTCGCCAGCTATCCCGTCCAGCTTGCAGGGCCATGAACTCGTCTTTAGCTTCGATGCCTTACTATGCATACGCCTGAACATTTTTGACAAATACGGCCGGTTAAAACCTCTTGAGGTTGGCCGTCCGCGATAGACGGACTGCGAATGCCTTTCTGGCCAGTCTCAACAAAGGGCTATGAGTATTTCCCGCGCTCGTGAACCCCGCTTTGAAGAAATATTTTTGACGATGGACTAAGAAGTCTGTCCTGATATGATTCAAGTTACCATGAGAAGATTGCCAAGTGAGATGCAGTCGGATACATGTGGCGGACATGTTATGGCTTGCAAGATGACCCGAATCCTGAGTTTCGCAGCCGCGTAGAGCTCAAATATGTCAAACTTGAGCTCTCTCACTCAGTCAAAAATACCGAGCATGAGACTCAGGGTTCGATCGGCGGCAACCTATTATACCTCGGAATGGTCTAAATCCAATCACGCTGTTGTAAGAGCCCTGAATTCGGTGTTTGGTGTGTCAGAGCCTGAAGTAATACACTACAGAAATGTCCACACTAACAAGAAGAGGTTGAATGACTTTTGGACCAAGCAGAGCAGATCGAAAGTCACATAGGGAATAACTCTGTAGGAAATTCAAGCGTCGATAATAATTCTAGATGGACCAGACAGCTGAGAAAGTTGAGTTCCGTACCGACGGAAATGTGGTCTGCACCAGTCAGACGGCAGGCGCTCCACAAACCTTAATCAGTGCCTCACTTCTGGTGAGGTAAGAAAAGAAAAAGAAGAAGGGCGTCATGACGTTCTGCAAAACGGTCTAGAAGCTAGAGCGACGCTTGAGACGCCGCAGCAAAGGCGGTGGCCGGGCGCTGCGACGGCTCATCAGGCATTACCCCGCCATGTCTCAATCGGAGCTTGGATTTGGCTCTTATCAACGGGAATGATGGAAATGATGAATGATGTGTGGAGGGGCAGTCTCGTATTCGTGTTATCACGTGATGCGATTGACGGTTGAGAGACGGAGGCCGAAAAGAGATCAGACGGTTTGATTGGCCGGGCCGCCCAGATCGCACAGGTCAGGGGTAGCTGCCGTTCCTGTTGGATTGGCCAATCGATGAGCTCCCGCTGCTGTCAGACGGGCGAGGGTCGCATTTGCACAACTCGTTGCTCAATGCTCCGAAATGAGAACTGCCTGTTCATGTTGGTGGTGAGTGGAAGAGATTTACCTCTTCGGACGATTTGTGCATTCTCGTCTGCATGTTTTATGAAACGTCACTGGCCCCGTTCGGAAAGGCAGTCCACCGAGAGTGCATTGGTGTAATTGTAGGTACTTTTTTACAATATTGAGTTGAGTATGGTCAAGTCACCGACAGACGCCACAATTCCGTGGAGGGCAGAAGTAGACGCGTGTAGCTGGTACTTTGCTTGGCGCAATGCAGTTTGGCTGCGTTGCTGGCGTTGGTTTGCTCGGGTGGGTTAGGCAACACATGGTGATTTATTGTGACATTGACAGTTGTGTTGACCATGGGACTTAAGCTAATTGGACACGGCTTTCTCGACTCGACCGAATAGCGCTCAGTGTACGGAGTATCTGTTTGGGATACCTTACCTACATCAATCAAAATACCAATGCTCAACACCAGGGAACAAAACAAAACAGACCATAAAGAAAGAAAAAGAAGGGAAGAGAAGAGCTGAACCGCCAGAACATCAAACAACCCGCGGCTCCTTGTCTTGTCCGAGGATATGTGACAGTCGCATGGATACGAATACGTGGATAGGATGAGAGGTGCTGAGCAATAGAAAGATTAGCCCATGACAGCTTCAATTTCGCATCGCTGAGTGGTGTGCTAGATTCAGGGTCATGAACCAACCCCACGTCCGGATCTTGCGCCATTCGGCCTATTCGCGCCCCATGGACGGCGGCCGAGACAAGCGATGGGCTACCAATGAGGGCAGAAGAAAGGTCATTCGAATGCCCAGATGTCCATACGGAGCAGACAAAGGGGGCGCGTCACAGCCCACAGGCCAACATGTGGTGCTGGGCCGATTATTGTGTGCGTGTGAATGTTCGGAGGCGAGCTGCCCTTGACTGCTCGGTGGGCAATGCAAGCAATGCGGCCCTCTTTCCCCCTAAACGAAACGAAGCAACGACTAGGTATTAGGTAGGCAGTAGGTACCTTACTACCTTTGGTTGCTTGGTTGGTAAAAAGCAGGCGAGTTGGACCCAACAAATTTTGACACTAGCCCTCCTGGTTGCGCTATCATCTATGCGCCGAAGCAGCAGATTCTGTCCCGGCTAATTAAGCAAGACAGAGCCAGAAGGAACAAATTGTCATTTCGTTTGATCTTGGACGATAGGCAGGCGGACATTCCACTTACCGGCCATCCGAGCACTTTGCGATAGTCTCATGTATTCATACTGAATTGAACTGAGACTGTGATAACCGCCCCGCTCCTCCCTGGATGGGAAAGACTGCTCATCGAAATCTGACTAGAATCAAAACCCAATGACCTTCTCTGGGGTAAAGTGAGTTTCGCTACTCGAGTTCAGAGAGCATGAGCTGAACCAGGTACTTGATCAGAGGACGCACTGGGACGGACGCACTGGTAAGGCAAGAAGAGACTTCCGGCTCACCTCGCCGTCCGATGGTCCCTGAAGACGGGAGTGCTTGGGCGATTGAGGCCTTGCGTATGCTTCGAAAAGTCCATAGGGCCTCCCTATTGAGCGAGCAGGCCGCAGAGTGAGGTGGTATTGATCAAGAACCTAGAAAGAAAATTCAGAATTTCGGTAGCCCACATCGGCCTTAACGGAGACAACCCACAAATCTATTGTGTTTTGATCGCCTTCTCTGTGCCCCCGGTCGCAATTGGCGTGCGGAAACTGCTGTGGCCGCTCTCTATTCAAACGCAGAGGTGGGTTTCTCAAGGTAGAAAGACCTTAGGACCCCCGTTCGCGCCTACGTGTGGTGGCAGGGAAGGTAGGGGAGGTACAGGTACATCCCAGTGACCCGTCTTGCAGAGACTGGGACCTGCCTCGTTCACTTTCACCTGGCCTACCACAACGAACAACCTCGTCCGGGTATCCACCTCTTACCATGCCCCCCGTCCCGTCCCCGTCCATGCCCATGGTAATCGAACTCCCTTCTTTAATCTTTTGAACATGTCTTTCCCTCCCACTTCTCACCCTCAGTGCTCCTAATCAGCCTCCACCGAGAGTGTTGTTCAACTCACCTACCTCGCGCGGCATTCTCACTGCTGCCTCCTTTCTCTCCGAGGACCTCAACAAGCGCAAAACTCAGTTGTTTGTAGCGTGTTGCGCCTGAGCTGTCGACCGACCCTTTCGCGCCCTGATATTTTTTCTCCTTAGCCCGGCCGGCCTCCCCTCCGAATACACGCACCCCGATTTCGATATTCGAACCGACCACGATGGATTCCAACGCGACGACCTTCACTTCGGTGTTGGCCAATGCCAAGCTCGGCAATGTCAACATTCCCCCTCAAGTGGACTACGTGATCGAGAAAGTGGCCAACGCCAGCATCGTGACGATCCTTTTCACGCTGCTGGCCCTCGCTGTCGCATATGACCAGAGTAAGTGATGCGCCCAGGACTGGCCTGGGAAATGGAACAAAATCTGACAAGCCATAGTCAGCTACATCACTTCCAAGGGCTCCATTGCTGGCCCTACCTTCAAGATGCCCTTCATCGGCCCCTTCTTGGAGTCTGTAAACCCCAAGTTCTCCGAGTACAAGGCTAAGTGGGCCAGCGGCCCTCTCAGCTGTGTTTCTGTCTTCCACAAGTAAGTCGTCTATCATATACACACATACTTCTAAGTGTGACGAGGTCTGACGGTGGCAGGTTCGTCGTCATTGCTTCGACCCGCGACATGGCCCGTAAGGTCTTCAACTCTCCTGGCTATGTCAAGCCTTGTGTTGTTGATGTCGCCCACAAGCTCCTCGGTCCCACCAACTGGGTGTTCCTTGACGGCAAGCCGCACGTCGACTTCCGCAAGGGTCTCAACGGCCTCTTCACTCGCCAGGCTTTGGCCTCTTACCTGCCTGGCCAGGAGGCGGTGTACAAGCAGTACTTCCAGGAGTTCCTCCAGATTACCAAGGATGCCGGTGGCGAGGCCCGTCCTTTCATGCCTGCTTTCCGGGATGTCATGACCGCTGTTTCGTGCCGCACCTTCGTCGGCTACTACATCTCCGACGAGGCCGTCCGCAAGATTTCGACCGACTACTTCCTCATCACCGAGGCTCTTGAGCTCGTCAACTTCCCCCTCATTCTGCCCTTCACCAAGCCCTGGTACGGAAAGAAGGCCTCCGACATGGTTATCGGCGAGTTCGCCAAGTGCTCTGCCAAGAGCAAGGTTCGCATGGCTGCCGGAGGTGAGGTGACCTGCATCATGGACGCCTGGGTCAAGTCCATCCTCGAGTCCAAGAAGTGGCGCGAGGCCGAGGCCGCTGGCAAGACTGAGGGTCTCGAGAAGCCCCACCCTCTTCTTCGCGAGTTCTCCGATTATGAGATTGCTCAGACCGTCTTCACCTTCCTCTTCGCCTCCCAGGATGCCACCAGCAGTGCCGCCACTTGGCTCTTCCAGACCATGGCTCAGCGCCCCGACATCCTCGATCGTGTCCGCGAAGAGAACATCAAAGTCCGCAACGGCGACCGCCATGCTGAATTGAACATGGACCAGCTCGAGTCTTTGACCTACACCCGTGCTGTTGTCCGCGAGTTGCTCCGCTACCGCCCTCCCGTCCTCATGGTGCCCTACGTCGTTAAGAAGCCCTTCCCCATCACGCCCGAGTACACTGTTCCCAAGGGTAAGCATGTTATCGCCCTTGAGTGGTTTGAGTGAGTACTGATTTGAAATAGGCGCCATGGTCATTCCCACCGTTTACCCTGCACTCCGTGATCCTGAGGTGTACGACCGCCCCGACGAGTTCGATCCCGAGCGTTACTACACCGGCGATGCGGAGGAGAAGGGCGCCAAGAACTTCCTCGTTTTCGGAACCGGTCCTCACTACTGTATCGGCCAGACCTATGCTCAGCTCAACCTGGCCCTGATGATCGGAAAAGCCTCCGTCATGTTGGACTGGGTGCACCACCCCACGCCCAAGTCGGAGGAGATCAAGGTGTTCGCTACCATCTTCCCCATGGTATGTTGGAAATCGTCCCATAAAAGAGTGAAAAACAGGAAACTAACAGGCGTAGGATGACTGCCCTCTTACCTTCAACGAGCGCACGGCATAGGTCTCTTATAACTCTTTTCCCTAGGCTGCGGGCTGGCAGTGATTTCGCCCAATGAATGAGCTGGGCCCGGCTGACGCTGCAAGACCACCGCTAGCGCGCCCCTGTCAGTGTCAGACACCACTTTAATCGACTCTCGGAACGGGAGGCTCGTAAAACTCGAGTCGAGATTGGTCAACGCCAGACCCCTAGACTAAAACTTGTAATAGACGTTTATGTGTACATAATTTTTTCAGGAGAACAGTCCTAAAAAGAGCGGGCGATGCCGCGGACTTTGAGTTGTTCAGGGACTATGATCCCTCAACGAGGATGGATATTGGGTAAACGGCCGATCCGAATGATGCTGGGTGACGATAGACTCAGTTCAGAGCCAATGGCTAAAAAAGAAACTTCAAATATCTTTGAGCCCCCTTGTGCGTTGAGTAACATGGACGTTGATGAAGATGAGGAAGCCGCGTAGTATCAACCGTAGAAATGAATGCCGAATGGACGTCAACCAAGACGGTACGCGAGCGGTTGTTAATATCACACCTATTTTATCTTTTCCTATTGGATCAATATTAGTGAATGGGCCTCGGAGAGGATAGTATCTGATGGTCGGCGAAATAGATATAATGGACAAGGAGCCGGTGAAAGCCAAGTCGTCGAACAGAGATGAAAGCCCGCCCGAGTGCCATCAGTGGAGACCGGCCAAAGCTGCAGGAAAAAAGCGGGCAGCACTGTCATCAACGCTGCACGGGCGCCAGGTCCCCGGGGCCCCGCCGTCCCTTGGCCGAAAGGAAACCCGCTAGAGCTTCCCGCAATCAATTTAAAGCTCTCCAAGCTTCCAGCTCCCAAGTTTCTTAGCTACTCCCGTCCCCGAGAGGCTCTCTATTCACTTTGACAATCGCGAGATTTATTCCATTTCAGGCAACTTCTTCCCTCCCCAATAGGCCCCTCCAAAAAAAAAAGACAGAAAGACAGAAAGAGATGGCTTCCACAAGGAGCGTATGCGCCAACGCCCTCCGGGCAAGCAGCCAGCTCGCCCGCGCCCCGACAGCGGCGGCCACGACGAGACGGTCCTTTGCCGCCGCGGCGACGTCGACTCTCTCCGCCCGCGTCGTTCCGGGGAAGACTTCGACTCCTCTGCGCTCGAGAGCTGCTGCTGCAGTGACGACCAACCCGCATGCGACAACGGCACGCTTCTTCTCCTCGGAGAAGGAGAGGGTGGAGGACGACTACCACCAGATCTCGGCGAACGGGAGCAAGATCTGGGACTTTGAGCAGATGGCGGAGCTGGCAAAGGATCCCGGCAACGTCGTCATCGTCGGTACGTTTCGCTCCCTCACAGCCACAGGCTGATCATTCATGGGATTGTTCGTTCCATTTCGGCTAACTAAACCCACCCTTTCTACAACAGATGCCCGCGAACCACACGAACTAGTAGAAACAGGCCGCATTCCCACCGCGCTCAATATTCCCGTCGCCACGGCGCCCGAGAGCTTCCTCATCGCCGACGAGGACTTTGAGGACCGGTACGGGTACCCGCGCCCGAGCAAGGACACGGAGCTGGTGTTCTACTGCAAGGCCGGCGTGCGGAGCCGGGCGCTGGCGACGCTGGCGAGGGATGCTGGGTGGTCCAAGGTCGGGGAGTACCCCGGGAGCTGGTTGGACTGGACAAAGAAGGGGGGAGAGGTTGAGAAGGGCGGAAAGCAGATTGGGCAGGATTGAAATAGCATCAGGTTTTCTATCACGCGGTTGGAGTGTATGATTAAAGCCTTGACAGGTGTGTCATACGAGACGGCACACGGCATGGTAAGATAGACGGCGACTTTTGATCATGATATTCGTTGTACAGATATGGTACATGAAACCCTACACTCCGGCGGATGACACAGCATCCCCCATGTTCCAAAAGTAGACAAAATGCAAGTGACGAGCTCCTTTCGCACGCTCTTCTATAACAGTCTTTGAAAGGTTCTTCTAGTGGTGACTTTGCAGAACCCCAAGGGTGAATCAAAAGGTGGGAGGCGCTCCCTCGGCAGGGGGGTTAGCGGGCGTAGCGGGCGGCGCCGCGGGGTCCTTGCTCGCGACGGGACTGCCGTGGGCGAAGAAGAGGATCTTGATGGCCAGCGAGAGGCCGAGGTGGAGGGCGACGACAACAACGAGCAGAATCTTGCTTGTCTGGTGGTCGGTGGCGCTGAGGACGGGGTAGAGATTGCGGAGGAGGAAGGCGACGGAGAGGCCGCAGCCGACGGCGACGAAAACCCAGTTGAGGATGTTGATGGGGGACCAGCTGATGAGGGCGACGGGGATCCAGATGAGGTTGGCGTAGCCGTAGAGAGCCCACTGCTCGAGGAGGTTGGCGGACTCGGAGCCGAAGTAGCGTAGGGCGAGGTAGAGGGCGACAGGGACGAAGAGCGTGTAGCCGTAGATCAGACCGGCGGCACCTGTGAGGAGTAATGTCAGTGATCATCATGGAGGACTGTAAGCTAATTGTCAAGGAGTCTCACCACTCAAGAGCTTGAAGTCATAGGCAAACGGGCCTGACCCTGTGCTCGCAAGGTACTGGCTGATGGTGCCGCCGAGGAAAAGGATCAAGACAACGGTCGTGGCGATCCAGAAGGGGCCGTAGAGGTCAGGGTTTCCCTCCAAAACGTCGAGGAAGTTGGCGCGCGGGTACAGCGCAGCCCAGCAGCGAGAGAGTACGGCCGAGGTGTCGACGTCAAAGTACTGGGCGTAAAAGTTGATGCTCCAGAGGAAGCGCTTCGAGGAGCCGGACGATGCTGTCGCAGGCGGCGGGAGGCCTGACGCAGGCGCCTTGCGAGTGCCCGGCGTCGTGTCATTGAAGTTAGAGCTGTGGAATTCGAGATCGTCTTGAAGGTCGGTATGGCCGAGGTCGCCCTGCGAAAGGAAGTGCGTTTAGTCTTGGGGGCGTTCGCGAGGAAGATGTAAGGAAGGGAGCTCTCACCTCGTCGTCGACGTCCACGACGGCGTCGTATCCGGACCCGGACCGTGACATGATTGGCTATTGAAGCTGAGAAGAATCCGACCTTGGTTTCCGACACTACTTTATGCCTCGTCGAGTTGTGGAAATGAAGCTCTGGGCTGCTGGGTCGTCGTCGTTGGCGATCGTGAAGTCGGACAAGTTGGGACGGTCGATACGTGTGTACGTACGAACACGGAACACCTCGAGCTTTGGACAAGGTGTCGTAATCCCACATACGCAGTTTGGCCCTGCAGCTCCCTGGGAAGAAAAGTCTCCACTAAGGGACACATCCCTGTAAGGGCCATACCGACGTTGCACTAATGCGGATAAATCGCGTCCCAGTTTTATGCAAGCACACGCCATTTCACTCCATGTGCTCAGAATTTCGGTAGAAGCATTAGACACTATCTGATAAGATCAAAATTCAGAAGTTCACATGCATGACGTGCATCACCAAATTGAACGAGATATGGTTCTGAGGCTCTGTATTTCGCTACTGTGCTGATCTTTCACTGTAGTCAATGGAGCATTGTGAGGCAGGTCAGTCGCCATCCCGCATCCATCATAGTACGTCTCTCATGCTCATTAGCATCTCCATGCTGCACTCAGGACGCCTAGGCGCGCTCTCTCGCCAAACGATTTTTCTCTCAGCCTCCAAACATCATTTGTTGATGTACGACAAGGCATAAACGGGGTAGTCCGGGTTGTGTTTCCTTTTGACATTTGAGGTAGGAGGGCGACCAATTCAGTTTTTATTCGACGAACTGCTTGCCGATGGAAAGTAATGCTACCACAAAGCCCAGGAAAATTCGTATCCCTGCCATCCTCTCCAGAATGCCAGAACCCGTGACGCCGCAACCGTAATGAATCGTCTATTTGAGCTTCTTCTTGGGGCGGAGCTGGTTGGTGTGACCGCACTTGCGCTTACGGCAGTTGGTCGCACGGGGGGGAAGACGAGCCTATATGAATCCATGTTAGGTTTTGCTTAGGTCGCGCGGCCGACCTGGGTTGGCGGGGGATGAGAGTAGAGGCTACTTACGTAGCACTTGCGGCAGATCATCTTGTCGCAGTTGAACTTGGAGGCAAGAGCCTTGAGGGAGGGCTCAATGATACCACCACGGAGGCGGAGGACCAAGTGGAGGGTGGACTCCTGTTTGGTGTGTCAGTTTCCATGTCTCTTTGACCCATCATATCTTCATAATCCCCAGCGACCCGGATGCTTTTCTCCCCCTCTTTTCAAGTGCCCCGCACAATGAGACTAACCTTCTGGATGTTGTAGTCGGAGAGGGTGCGGCCATCCTCAAGCTGCTTGCCAGCGAAGATCAGGCGCTGCTGGTCAGGGGGGATGCCCTCCTTGTCCTGGATCTTGGACTTGACATTGTCGATCGTGTCGGAGGACTCGACCTCAAGGGTAATGGTCTTACCCGTCAGGGTCTTCACGAAACTGCAACCACCATCGTCAGCACATTCGGCGTTTTCGGACTTCGTCGTCGCATGGAAAGAGATTTTGTTGCGCTCGGCATCGGGCGGGAGGGGTGTTCGGGATTGGCTCACATCTGCACTACACGCAAAATATCGTTAGCATCGCCAAAAATCAACAATCAGAGCAGCGGCGCGCAGCATGACGCCGTCTCGCCGTGCAGGGGGCTCTCATCACTTACTCTTGCCGACGTTCGTGAACTGGCTGTTGTTACCGAGAAAGTTCTGGTGATCGCGGCAAATAATTGGTGGGGCGGGCTTGAGAATGAGTGTTGAGGTTGCGGCGCGAGCGACCGACAAGCCCTAATTAGGGCACGCGGGTACGGACATGGTCCAAGCGTTCATGTATGTGCGAAAGTGACCAGGCTGCGGAGGCTCCCTGTGGAAATTACGGGTCTGCCCGGTGTCACCCACCTCACTCTTGAGTTACGATGACCTACATACTTCAACAGGCTCATCCTCTAGTTACTCTACTATCCTTGTGTTCTTCGCCATGGAAAAGTCCATATATTGGATTGGAAGTGGTCTCTGGCTCATACAAGATGCTCGACACTGGGAACAGTAAGGACGAAATATACGGGTTTTACATTTCGTTCTGGACAAACACTCCTTTCTACTTTAAGGGTATCTCGACGCTGATAATTCCAACTTGTGCACTTGTGCCCATCCTAAGGAGCTGAGAACACTTACATGCCCACCAACTTGTGTCTCTTGAGAAGGGCGTATCACAGCCCGTAATGGCCTTCCTCAAAACGGAGCATTATTCGGTATATGTCGGCTGCTCAGTATCCGACTCCATAGAAACGAAAGAACGCGATCGTTCACGTCTTTCGCTGGCTGCCCTGCGTTGCTCCTTTTGCCAGGTCACAATGTGGCCCTCGAGCATATTGACGGCTCGCACCAACATTGGAACGGACAGCCCTGCCAGCCGCGCCGCCAGCTGAAAGAAGTCCCTGCCTATGGGAGGAAGGTCTTCCTCAGATTTGTATGAGTGATATCGACTGGTTCGCAAACTTTCCTCCTCAAGTCTGTTGTGTGCATCTGAGTCGACAAACGATGCAGCCTGTGTTTGGACAGCGCGCAGCCTTCCAGCCATCTCATCCCCTGTTGTCTCGGACTCTGTCTGTTTGGGGGCTTGCTCGTCGACGGGAAAGTACCTCGCGAGTAGGCTCTCTTCGTCTAAGTCGTTGTCAATTACCGGATCAGCAAACCCAAGGGTACTTTGACTTACTGTGTGCTTCAGTCAGCAGTGAAAGGTGTGTAAAGTACTCATCTAGCTCTTTCGGGCTCATTGATGTGATCTGAGACGCCGTAACGCCTGTGTAGTCAACGGTAGATGTAGCTTCATCTGGAGCCAAGGCTGGAGTCATTATCCTCTTCCATTCTTTCCAGTCAAGCTTAGGCACGATGAAGTTGTTCTCGTCCTGGGGAGCTGGCACGTTGTCCTCGAGTGGGAAGCAGTGCATCGCAGCAAGGACAAGGATGGTGACCAGAAGAACTTCTGGTTGATTTATGAGACGGATTCGGGTCTTCTCCAGTGGAAAACTGAAGGTTAAGTTGGCGATGGGTGGAACGCGGCGCGCAATCGCTATCGTCTCAACTGGGAGTCGTCAGTCGAGTCCATCTTTTGTCATGGCCAGAGGACCTACTAGGCAGGCCCAGCTCGCGTGCATACTGTAATGTCATCAGGACATCGTTGAGCGGCGGGAAGATCATGCCGTAATTGAGATGATACGACAAAGCCAGATTCATGACTGAAGCGTGCAGTTCTCCATTCTCGAAGGCAGCTAGGTTTGTCGACTTCAGCGGTGTTGTATACCAAGTTGGCAATCGATCACGCATCTCCTGAGGTAGCTGGCGATACTGTGACTGGTTAGGGAAGATTCAAATATGGCCGAAAGTAGTACCAACAGCTTCTTTGTACGGGATGCTCCCCCCTCTCGCCCACTTGCAAAGATCACCAATACGCGTGGGTATTCTCAGCAACATGCACCCCAGGAAGCAAAGGCCTAGTGTGTCAATCATTCGGGGTGCCGGCCACTCGCTCCCATTCTCTCCTGTCCATCTTTGTGCTCGTCGGTTCCGAGACTGGTGCTCCTCATCCTGGGCGAGGTCGAGTTGCGAGCTGAATAGCGAGGGCTCTCCCTCCGAGGCCGAGTCATCCTGAACAGCTGTCGCAGCTCCGGAGATGCGAAGATCCCAAAGATCGCGGACAGTGGTCTCTAGTTCCGGCTTATGTTCCTTTGTGGTGACCAGCCATATCACCTGCTCTCTGAGGATGAGCTGCAGGCACTCAAGATACAAATCTCGTGCTTGCTGGCCGGTGAGCACTCGTCTGATGCGCTCCTTGATCTGCTTCTCCTTCCGAGCCACGCGACCCTTCTGGCCGAAATCCTCATCGCCAAGGTCAAATTCAACATATCCCTGGTTGAAAGTGTGAGCTGCGGCTCATCATAGGAGATGCAAAGCATGGCTTGGACAAACTTGAAGCTGGTGGCCTTCCTTGGCGCAGAATCTCAAACCATTTTCGAGATACCATTTGCGGGAACCGCAAAATTCACATCGTTCTCCTTTTGGAAACTTATGAAGGTCCCTCTCCGGGGCCATGGTGCTCTGACTGATAGGTTGGTCGTACTTGGTTGCAAAGTTGATCTAGGCAAAATCGTCACCAGATTGGTGAAGTTTTTGACAGTGCGCGGTGCCCGTTTCTCGGGACGCACCTTTACCAGGCAGGCGGAACCTGGCAGGCAGTTTGTTACAAAACAGCCCCCGAATTATATTATCTTCAGACCAAGACTTGAGAGTGCTTAAAAGGGACTATCGAATTTAGGGATTTCAGGCATTTAGTTTTAGGTAAGTAATATGTCACATAGCTTAACCAGCTGAGTCTACCTCACTCATACTGACAGCCCACGATAGCTAAGCCGTCATCGTGAAAAGGAGCCTATCAAAACTTCACGGTTCTTACAGATGAACGAGGTAAGACTTATAAATGTAGGAGCAACAACATGCAGCTTGTAGTCGAATCACTTTCATGGGCATTACACATTTAGCGTTTTCACTAAATCTGTACATAGAGTTTGAACGAAAAACAGAGACCGCGTGGTGGAGATATGTACCGCTTTTCCATCGGACAAATCTGCTACCACCGCGAGGCTCTCCCATTTTTTTCACCTATCCCATTGCTAGTCTGATCGTCGTTAAGAGTCTGTGGGACAGACAAAACAAAGGAAAAAAGTCGTGCGACATGTCTTGCAGTTGTCAAGTTCGCGTACCCAGTATCAAGTCCTGTCCAGATATAGCCTACGCAACGACTGACGGGGATACCGTTAATTTCGAAGCGCCAAGAAATATCGCAAGAAATGTCCCCAGTCTGCCAACATCTGCCAGCAAGGCCGCTTGAATTGAGCGCTTGTGGAAGTCATTGTCTGATGATATGGTAGAGTTGCAGCGCTTAACCCTGCTTGGGGGCCTCCTTGGCCTCAACGGCGGCCTCCTCACCCATGGCGGTAAGAATGACGACGTCTGTAGTTGTCAGTTAGTGATGACCTCTTTTGTGTTGCTCGACAAGCTTGTCGTCGTGAGGGGTGGGAAGTCTTACTGGTGTCCTTCTCGTCAATCTTGAAGAGCTTGTTGATCTTCTCACCAATCTCGCCGTCGGGAAGACGGACATCGTCCTTGAGGTCACCATCGTCGTTCATGAGGGAGAGGAAACCATCGTCGGAGATATCGATCTGTGGAGGGTGTCGTGTTAGCAAACAAGGCCCATATTGGTAATGTAACGAGACTTGTGGCAACTTACGAGCTGGAACTCCTTGCGGGAGACGTTGGGGACGTCCATGTTGTGGGTGGAGGGAGAGAGATCCTCAAGCTTCTTGCCGGTGAAGATGTCGATGGCGACCAAGTGAACCTTGGCGTGACCGTGCTTGCCAGTCTTGGAGGTAGACATGTCGACGATCTTGCAGGGGCGGCCCTTGATAACGACGTGACCGTTCTTGCGCAGAGCAGAGCACTGCATGGGGAAGGTGAGAGACGCACCGGCGTCGGTGGACTCGAAGGTCATCTCATGCTGTTCGGAGACGATGCGTTAGCGGTTGAGCCAACTCAAAATATGGACGTCGTTCGGCATGATGATGGCAGGAGGATGGAATCGAAATTGGTGTGGTATTTGATGCTCGTATGCGTCGTGTATTGCCCGAGTTTCTGTGCAGAGCCGTGGTGCGTTGAAGCATCCGCGGGGCTCTCTCGCCAATGTGGATGCGGGGTGGTCGATTTTCGCCAAAGCAACCGACATCGATCGCATTCGACCACCACAACCACCACCACCAAAAGAGACAGGGCACGGAGGGGCATAATACAGCTGTCGCAAAAGACTCACCTGGGCGTCGTCGTTGGACATTTTGAAGGATTGACTGGAAGATGTCTAAAAAATCGAAGGGAAGATGTCGACAGGCGGAATTACCCAGCAAAAGACGGCTGATATTTTTTGAGGGGGGAGAGTTGTGAAAGGAAGAGAGCGGGCAGAGGGGGGAAATGGAGGGGAAAAAAGGAAGGCGAGGCGGGAGTAGATAATTTTTTTCCTGGTTTTATTATTGGTTTTTTTCACTCCTAGGCCCAGATTCGCGCCCCTCTCAGTCTCTGTCCGTGGCTTCCCAAGCGTTGTGTGGGACAGGTGCAGGGAGCACTTTCGCAGTGAAAAAAGGTGGAGTGTGGGCTTTCTTCCCTTTCTTTTCACAGATTGAACCTGTGAGGCCCCTCCCCGAGTGACATTGTCGCCGGTAGATGACTCTGCGGTGAACAAAGTACCCATCTAGGTTCTCCCGTCCATCGACCTTTGGGTCTTCCTACCTTATGCCCAAGACACCACACCGTGTAGGAGCTGGAGCTCCTTACCCGCATCACCTGGACGCCGCTTGCTCGAAATTAGGCCGCTGACCGCCTGTGGAATGCCCCTATCTGATCCATCCAGGCACGCCAGGTCTACCTTAGGTAGTCGGCGAGGGTGGTTGAAGGTTTCCAGGATCCCTCCCGTCTCCCAAAGACTCAATCGGTCAAAATGACTTCCCCTTCACAGCGTTACCCGAAGGACAATGAAGCACATGGGCACAGTCCACCGGCCCTGTGGCAACGACCTTTTTTGGGCGCTAATGCCGCCATGCCAAAACCTCGCGGGCCAGCAACCCTTGCTTCTTTCTGCCTTACCTGCCATCCTCGTTGACCTCCGATATTAGCCTTCCACTTTGGCAAGAGAAGGTCCGGACTACGGGAAGGGATTTGAACGGTATGCGACGGACTTTCGAACAATCTAAAGGGAAGCTGTCGTGCCTGAATACCTACTCGACTAGGCAAGGGATAGCATTGTCCAGACATTGTGGCAGGTTCTTCTGTGCCAACTTCCTGTATCTAAGACGAGAGCTTCGTGAGGTATACGCACCCATTCGCGTCCAAAGATACACCTTCACATTGTAACATGCAGGAGCTTCCCTCCGACACAGTCCCAGCAGTCCGAGCTACTTTTACCTTGGAGATGTCGCGGATTCTGCACGACATGTGTGCAGCCTCTCTCCCATCCATACCAGACGCATCAATGGACCGTTAATTGCTCTTCAATCGCCCACCCAAAGTCCTGCCCCGCACGTTTCCAGGTTGTTTGCCGCCGGCCCTCACTCCCAATTCTGCCCCGCACTTCGCAGACTTCGACCCCTCGAAGACAAAGGGCCCGACCCCTGCCGCGCCACAGGAAGCTCCCGTGGGTACGTATCTTGTGGCTGGTGCTTGTCATTGATCGCTCACCCAATGAGAACACGTCGCTCTCCTAAGGCCGTCCAGCCTTGTCTACTGCCTCCTGGGGGTAAGGCAGGTAACCAATGTCACAGGTGTACATCTTTCAAAGAAGCCAGACGCCGATCCCGCGATTCTACAACATCACCCGTGCGATTTGCGAACTCTCGATGACATGGTGCCCCGTCCTGTCGACCACCCCGCTTCTTAGCTTCTCCATACCACAAGTCCACCATGTGGCTTGATCGGCTTGCAGCACAGTCGAACTCGTCTCCCTCAGCGTCGCAGCCTGGCAGTCGACCATACTCTCCTCTTCCGCGACGAACCTCCAGTAGCCCCTATGTGACCTCTCAACGACCTGGCATTACACCAAGAGGCTCACAACTCTCGCTCGTCTCCAACGATTCCTCGAACTCCTTCCTAGCTTCACGGAGGGTGAATGGCTCAGGCTTGAAACAATCCCAGACAACCTACGACGGACCGGATTCGGTTGAGATCTTGGGCCAGATCCTAGATACAGCGCCCGCATCCGAGGCAACAACGATCACAATAAGCGAAAATGACCTCGAACTAGACTTCAGTTTTGAAGGTCTGAGCTTGCGAGAGCTCGCAAGCTCCGACGAGATCGATAGAAGCGATGCGGATAGCTACCGGCGGCAAACCGCAGAGGAGTGTATGAGCTCCTCATTGGCTGGCACAACTGTCCGCAGATTGCTAATCTTTGAGTTTAGTCGAAGCGAGTAAAGCTCAGTTCGAGGACCTGCATCGATCAATTGCAGCATGCGATGGGGTTCTAGGCTCAGTAGAGACCAACCTGACCAGCTTCCGTAATGACCTCGCGGCCGTCTCTGCAGATATCGAGACCCTGCAATCACGTTCTGCGGCGATGAACGTGAGGCTAGACAATCGAAAAGCAGTTGAAAAGGCTTTTGGTCCAGTTGTCGAGGAGCTCAGCGTCTCACCCCATGTGGTGTCCAAGATATCTGAGGGCCAAATTGACGAGACATGGGTCAGGATGTTGGCGGAAGTGGACAAACGAGCTACAGCATACAAGAAGTCGGTTTCGAACCAGGGAGAGAGCAAAGCTTGGGCAGACCTTGGCCCTCTACTGGAAAAACTGACAATGAAGGCCGTCGAGCGGATACGGGACTTCATTGTTGCCCAGATCAAGGCCTTACGATCCCCTCACATCAACGCCCAAATAATCCAACAGCAGAACTTCTTGAAGTTCAAAGACTTATACACTTTCTTGCACAAGCATCATGCTACTCTCGCAGAAGAGATCAGTCAGGCTTACATGAACACCATGCGATGGTACTACGCAAATCAATTTGGACGATATCAAAGGGCATTGGAGAAGCTTAAGCTGCACATTCTCGATAAGAACGACGTCCTTGGACACGACGAACCCACGCGAAGAGCCACGGTGTTGTCTGCCACAAAGCCAGCTGGGCCGCCTCATGATGCCTTCAACTTAGGACGGCGTATTGATCTCCTGAAATCGGGTAACGCTGCTGCGATCTCCTCTTACCTGGCCGAGGAAGACCAGACAACACATTATCTAGAGGTACCTTTCAGGAACTTCAACCTGGCACTCATAGACAACGCTACTGCGGAGTACACATTCCTGGCCGCCTTCTTCTCGCCCCCATTGTCTCTGCAAGCGGTGTCACGACAGTTCAACTACATCTTCGAACCAACATTTGCGTTAGGCAAAACCCTCACCAAGACGCTCACTGCTGAGTCGTACGATGCCCTGGGGTTGCTGTTAAGCATCCGCATCAACCAGCATCTTGCTTTTGAACTGCAACGGCGCAAGGTGCCAGCTGTGGACGGCTACATTAACATGACGACAATGCTTCTATGGCCGAGACTACAAGTCGTAATGGACCACCACTGTGAATCATTGCGGCAGCTGATGAATACTTTACCCACAAAACCTAGGGCGGCGGATCAGAATAAGCTATCCGCCGCGCCGCATCTCGTTACCCAGAGGTTCGGCCAGATCTTGCAGGGAGTTCTGGCGCTGAGCACAGAGGCAGGAGACGACGAGCCGGTGGTAACCAGCTTGCGTCGTCTGCGGTCAGAGGCAGAGGCTTTCTTGACGCGGTACAGTCAGTCTTTCAGCGATAAGCGGAAGCGGGAACGGTTTCTTTATAACAATTACTCGTTGATTTCAACCATCATCAGCGACGTTGGCGGAAAATTGGGCACGGAGCAGCAGGAGCATTTCGAGGGCCTCAAAGCGGCATTCCAAGAGGGTGCTTGAAGAGAGCGCAGTACCAGGCACACAGCAGTTTGTTGGATTATTTTGGCATTGGCGCTACATTAAGGGGTGCTTGACTGCCAGTGGCATATCACTTTGTATGATAGCCTGTTTTTTTTTACTCTAACCTGGGGGAATCTAAATGTACATGATGACACAAGTCTTGTGAGGGCTGTTCAGATCGTCATCCACTCTTGACTAAAAGTTGTGCGTCCAGGTCGTTCCGTTGGACCACTTATTGTACAGAGCTGCCATTGCAGCTATCGGACTGGGGTTTCTTCTGCCCAGGTATACGGCCACTAGACCGATGACAACGGCCAGTCCGGCGGCAGCGGCCCCCTTTCGGTACGCCCACATCACCTTCATGAGCTTTTGCCGGCGCTCGAGGGCCTTGAGCTCCGCCAGCTGTTTCTGGAAATATGCGTGTCCTTCGTCCATGGTCTGCTTTGAGCATTCCTCCACGGACCGCGCCGTCCGCAAGGAGCTGGCTTTGGATATCTTGCGCCACTGCGGTAGCGACTCGGGTGGGAATCGCTCGTAAAGCGCAATCGTGCTCGCGATTAACGCATCGAGGTCCATCTTCTGCGGGACCTTGGAGAGGATGAGGTGGAGCATAGACGGATCGTCCTCCTCCTGGTCGAAGAGCTCGTCGCGGCGGTTCAGGACGATCTGGACGTACATGTAGATGCTGAAGACGGGTTCGCGGGTAAGGAGGGTATCAAAGAGGCGGGCGATGTCGCCGTAGGCCTGGATATCGTGCGCGTACATGGTCAGGGTCCCCGCCAGGGCGTAGAAGGGTTCCGTGCCGGAGAGGTGGCGCTTGAGCTTCGGATCGGCGGCGTTGAGGATGTCGGGGATCAGCCTGAGCTGCGCGACGGTCGGCTCGAGGCTGGTGAGCATGAAGTCTCGGATGCGGAGCACCGACAGTCGCGAGACAAGGCGGGCGCGCCATGGTGGTTCGAGGACCAGCATGAAGACTTGGCAGATGTCATGGTAGCCTTGAAAGTAACATAGATATGGGTATCGACGGAGGACTTCGACGATCAGATCGGAAAGCTCGTTTTTGTTCTTCTCGAGTTCGGTGTCGTTCTGGTCTGTACGTAGAGTTTGTCAGCTTGCTTGTCGCGAGTTCGCAAGTCCCTGTCGGGACACCGCAGAACGGAGTGGTCTCACGGTTCGGGTAGTATATGAAGGCGCGGTTGACGTCGAGCGCAACTTGTTCCTCATCCCTATGACTTGGAAGGGCTTTCCATGAGACCTTCTCGTCTATACCAGCTGCGATTGTACCCTGGAAATCCTCGCTATCTGGAAGGCCTAGGAGTATAGGCCCTACACACAATGTTCCGTTAGCCTCGGAGCGTCGCAGGACGACGGCGCCGTGGTTGGCACGCTTTACTACTGACAGGCTTTCCGGCGTAGAGTGTCGGTAAGAAACCCGCCTTTGGTACTAGCCAGGCCTTTGAGGGCTTCTATGTTCCGCCATTTGCACGCCTCGAGGATATCGGTCGTCTTGCGCTGTTCCTGATCTACGGGGGCCGCAGAGTCAGAGCTGCTCAGCGCATTCTTTTCGTCCATCGAGTCTGTTTTTATGACTCCTCTGTGTTTGCGAGAAGTGTAGCGTGACGAGCCGTTGTTGGAGTCGAGGGGTTGTGCTCGTCACGGGAGCGTGCGCATTATGTGGCTGCGAGCTCGGGGGAGGTATATGCGCGTCGCTATCGCCTAGCGTTACGGACGCTGGTTTGACAAAGAATGAGGAAGCCCATGAAATCCGCAATGGTGAACTGGCTCTAGGACACTGCTTCAACGACTTAAAGTTGAGGTTGAAGTGGGATGCATTACATGCGTCCACGATCTGCCAACGAGAGACAGACGATTGGTTGTGAGAACAGGGAAGCTGGAGGTCCAAGAGCTGCCACAAATGTGACAAGCCAGGTTATAGCGGAGTTTCCTCCACAGCGGATCTATGGATCTGTTTCGAACCATTGAAGCCGAGGCTTAGCGTACGTTTGGAGCAACTTCACCAGGGACGTCCGGCCCCCATGGCCTGGATCGCCGGGACGGGACGCACGGGCCAGATATGGCGAACCTGACTTGAGCTGCCATTAAACGCCTTGTGACACTACTCTGATATTACAGTGAGGTACGCTGTCACGCCGTCTAGCTTTGGGCAATTGCCAAAGCGAGGCGAAATTTCGGGCTGGCATATTTTCGGTGTGATCCTGTGTAAATCCCGGCTCAGAAACCAATTCACCTATTCATGCGTGTGCCTACTTTAGGTGCTTCACGGCCGGCATCGGCTGCATTGGACTGGCCTTGGGTCAGGTACCACGTAGGTCTACCTATGGCGGTTAAACAACTCAGCAAACCTAGGCATTACTCTACCCTAAGACGGTCCGTAAGACAATCTCGTCAACATCCTGTCAAATGTGGAGGTCCCAAGGGGGTTCTATGACATGGAAAAGTCAGGTTTCCCAACTTGAGGAGTTCAGTTTAATAGATGTTAGCTAGGTTGTTGGGGGTTAATTGCGCTGGCACAACGGTTGTTAGATCGATCGTAGTCTCTGAAGATGCGTTCACTGCCGACCGCCGGACCAGAGACCTTGCTCTGGGCACTGCAGTTCAAATCATCCAGTTCCTAGCCAAGACAGCCCAAGTGACTCCAGACATGCATCGTGGTCTCGGTAAATTGAGTACGTAAGAGCGGTTCTTTGTTGAGTGATATAAGCGAGTAGCATCTTTTAGTTGTCTCGTCGGCTATGGTGCGGCCGAAGCTGCCGCTCCGTTGACTCTCTTGGGTACAGTATTGGCGCAAAGGAGAGACTGTGGTTTTTGTCATGCATGAACATGATTCTTCTCGAGTGAAGGATTCCTCGAGTCAGACAGCTGTGCTCAGAGCCGGTAGCTGTAAAGGTTGACAAGCCGGGCTTTCTCCGATCCTGGATCGGGTCGGGCAATGTCTAAGTTTCTTTCAAGTCAAGATCTCGAAATCACGACCTTTAGAACATCCAAGGTCATATAACCCCTGGCTGGCTGTCCTGCGCCCCCTGCTTTTCTGGAGTATTCCAGACCCGCACACCAGCCCTGGTCCTTGAAGGTGTATTAACCGATGCGCACTGATTTCTCACTTGGTATCGGACTCGTGAGGGTGACTCTATCAGACTGTTAGCAGAAAGAGACTTCTCGAATTCCTTTTCAGCGAAAGGTCTAACTAAGCGCGATTAGACAGGTCGACAAGAGTTACGGTACAGACACATAGAAAGACGGAGGCAGAGGGGTATTCCAGCATGGCCGTATTTAGGTGAGGAGATGTCAAACAGTGTCCGAGGTAAACGACATCTGAGACAGTGGAGGCATCCGAACCTGCAGCGGAAATGGCCGGCCAGGCGTCTTGCAGCAATCCGGCGATGCAACTGTTCACGTCGTGGTAAGGTAGGGTATGGAAGTTCTTGGTGGTTGGTGCAGCCATCCGTATGTGGGACTTACACCCACACCAATGGAAAGAAGATATTCTATTGTCTTCCTACCCAAGGGCAAGCAATGGTTTCAGCTGGGTAGGGCAGCAAGGTCTTGAGGGAAGACCATTCGTTTACCCAATCAGCAAGAGCCCGCGGTTCATTCCAGCTTTCTTCTTATGGCGCCAGGACGTGCCCTTCCAACTGTAGGCACGTAGGGTAAGGTACATCATTGGCGTAACCATGTACTGCGTGGAAAGAGGCCTAGACTACCTACCTACCTACCTTTGATTGATTAGTATCAGATCGACGTCACCTTGCTATTGGATGTTGGACATAGGGTTGCAAGATGGGACGACAACGGCGGATGAAGTCGTTTTCTTCAGCTTCCCCGCCGTCAGTGTTGCCCGGTCCCTACCTAATTCGCGATGAACTGTACACGACGGAGTACTGCCCACGCGCAATGATCTCACCTACTACTAACAAGGCATTTCAACCAGGGCATTCAACTGTCTTTCACAGACAACGGAGCTCTCGAGGCAACCTGAACCAAGTCCCCGCTCAGCCAGGGCTGCCTGCCTATGGCTTGGCTGCCCGCCTCAGCAAGGAACACGATGGGTACCTCCCCGTCGCGCATGCACGATGCTTCAGCAAGTCAGCAACAGTCTACAGGGCCAGCTCACCACCGACGTTCCATTACCCTACTGACCGAAGTCCCGTCACAGTGGAGAGAGAGCCCGGCTGAGATGCAAAGCACACGCAGTGGTCGAGACACAACCCAAGACACAGCCCAGGTACCTCGGCCGAGAAGGGTATTTTCCGCGAATTCAACAAGCTGCATTCTTGGGATGTTCTAGGGTACCCCACTTGAAGTACTGCGAAGGGCTTGAGATGAATCAGGGTCCAGCGCGCCACAACGCCAACCGATCAGGTTCTCATCGAAGCCTTCTGGGGCCGCAAGGAGCAGCGGCAAATACCCTACCTGTCCCGACTTCATATGGTTGTAATACACTCTGATTGGCGATGATTGCATAAGATGACTCGGGTTGCTAGGGTTCTGGGTGCCTCAGACTTGCATTCTTAGTTTTACGCTACCGAGATCGAATTAGGCGAGGGTTGTAAAGTAGAGCGTTGTCCGAGGTAAGGTAGGCTGGGATAAGGTCTTTTTTCTTTGATCATTGATGCCTTAGTTGGTATGTGTGATGTTTGGTGGTATGGTAGCCAACCACTTCTGTTCCACGGTGTTTTGCTCGCGCCCACGCACGTCCAATGTGCCTGCCGCCCTACATCACATACCTACCTTACTGCACAACCAGGGCTTACTGTACGTGCCGTCCCTATCTGCCTTACTTTGCTTGAGCACCGTATACTTGATCTTGCCTTACTTGCCCAAGGTAAGGCAAGGTAAGTTGAGGTAGGTGTCTTGGTAGGTAGATACTGACAAAAACGGTCATGCAAGGTGTTTTGCAGCTATTGGCTACCTGCATGCTACTGTCTCCCATAGGTAGGTTGGAAAGCCCTCACTTGGGACACTGAGGTGTGGTGTGGTGGTGCTTTCTCTCAGGTAAGCTCGTGCTCCAATACTCCATGCAACGTGGTGCCCCACCAGCTAGCTAACATGCCCGTACCTCTTGCCTTACACCCAGTACGACTGACTCTAAAACCAACCTTTGCTCCGCCCAACCGTCACAATCTGGAGCCATTCATTCCATGGCGCCGTTGCCTACCTGTCTCCTTGCCTCACCTCAGATTGTTCCTCAGCAGATAGCCCCGGCCCAGTCGCATTCGAGTCGTACGGCCGCTGCTTGCCATTCCAGTGGCCCTGAAATCGGAGACAAAATCACAGCACCGTCATACCTTACAGTCTGATCGGTTTGGCATTTCGAATCACGCGACCCGGCAATCTGGTATCCATATCCCCCGCCGCAAATCCGAAATACCTCTGTTCCGACTTCACCTCTCTCGGCCTCTACTCATCCCGTTACTACAGATTTTCACTCCACTGTCAACCATGTTGACATAACAAGACCTGTCGAAATGGCCTTCCAGACAAACGTCTTTAGAAACGGTGCTTGGGTGACGGAGACTATTGACCTCCAAACTGTTCTGAGGGGCTCAACCACAAATACCTCCGCTGTCGCTCCTTCACTCCCCGCTCCGCCAAGCTGTGGTATCTTGACGAGAACTGTCATCGATAGCCCCATTGCTCGATGGGTCTTGCCTGCTCGCCTGAGGTCTGCACATCATAACGATGTTGCCTTCGTTGGGGTGAGTTACTCAATATCTTTATCAAGCTCATCTGGAGGCTTGGATATACCATTCCTCGAGCCTCACTGCCCTTTTCCTTGCACAATATCTCCAGAGTATGTGAAGAAGCTTACAAAATTAGGATCGTTACGTGAGCATCAATGAGTTGCGCAAGGATGGACAGCTTCAGGAGGTGCTGCGCAAGAACGACTTTGGCTGTCGTATTCGAAATGCGCTTGTTATTGGAAACAAGTACGAGCACTTTCGCGTTGTCCCAGACGACCCTGGCCATGACCACATAAAAAGCGAAGACGAAGATGACGACACCCACATGGCCGACATTGGCTCTGGATCTGGCATCAGTACTTCTCATGGACAGTTCCCACCGCACTTATTGCTCCTCATCCTCGAATCAGGTTCCTTTGTCTTCCTCTTCATCAAAAGAGATGATGAGAGAGACACCCTGGAGTTCGTTGCATCGCCGTTCCACAACCCAGCAAGGAGATTAGGCCACTTGGGATTCCACGTAGCTGTCGATCCCAGGTCTCGCTATATTGCAGTCGCGGACGCCCAGAACAAATTTGTCGTTTACGAGCTAGAGTCCATGGAGGCAATGGGCGATCAGTTGATACTTGACAAGGCCATTAAACCCATTAGGGCGCACCACCCAAGAGCAGTCCAAGGTACCATTCTCAAGATGGAGTTTCTTTATCCTCGTCCCGAGGACGAAAGCCACGTCATCCTCCTTCTCATCATCGCAAAGGCCGATAGGTCGAAGATGGTCATCTACGAATGGGAGCGGGGAGACGATCTTGGCCAAGTGCTGGCCGAAGAAAAGCGTGGTCATCGCATCGCACCAGAACATCGCCTCCCTCTTCTCATCATTCCTCTGACAGTGAGAAGTTCCTTTTTCGCAGTTTCCGAACACGCGCTTGGCATATGCAAGGACCCTCTTCAAGGGCCCCCTAACATTGAAACAATCAATCCTTTCACCCACCCCGCGAGCCCTTTTCATCACGGTACTAGTGTACCCCTTTGGACAGCTTGGGATAGACCGGTACGGAGGCGGCGCTACTACGACACTAAGGATCTTATCTACCTGGCTCGAGAAGATGGTGTGATTGTCTTCTTTGAATTCAATACGACGGATATCCTGGGCGCTGCTATGAATGTTGGCAGCTGCAACTGCAATATTTCTACCGCCTTCACCACAATGTATGACGCTTACTCTGACGTCGCCATCGTCGCCGGTGACTCTGGCCCTGGGATGGTCTTTCAGGTAAGTTGTGATGCCAGTGCGTTTCACCAGACAGCTACTAAGATACTTGCCCAGCTCAAACCTCGGGAGCCTCTCGTCGAGCTTGGAAGTATCCCAAACTGGTCCTGCTCGGTTGATTTCGTCACTACAGATGTTTTGACGTCGTGGAATCCTGAGACTGGTCCAAAAGGGAAGCCTGTAGTACCATGGCGAGACAGAACGTTGGACCATCTGACTGCTCCAGACAAAGTTCTTTGCGCCTCTGGGAATGGACCGCAAGGCAGTATCACAGAGCTTCGCTATGGACTACCCGCTAATATTATTTCTTATTTTGAGCCGCTGCCAACGAGGAAAGTATGGGTTTTTAGAACCGCAGACGGGACTTGGCCATATCAAATGCTGATGGCAAGCCCCGGGACTTCCGAAGTGTTACTAGTATCATTTGATCTATCAAACGCGGAGATGGCTGATCCAATGACAACCCAATTTGACACAGAGTCTCGAACTCTGGCAGCGGAGCAAAGCCGAGACAATACCATCGTTCAGGTATCCGAGAAGCGTATCATTGCCATCGACCAGAATCACAGGTTTGTGCCCCAAAATTCGACCTCCACGTCTCACTCCGACTTTGCTAACGTTCTGATAGTTCAAGATATGAATTAAGTGACTTTGAGGGTGTGGGTAGGATAGCTGAGCATGCAGCCGTCAGGGGTAATTGCATCTGCGTCTCAACCTTTGAAGAATCTTGCTTCCGAATCCACATTTTCCGCACAGAAGGGACCGAAATATCCCTTACACAGACTTACCCTGTCGACGGCGAAGTTACGTGTCTAGCTCTCTGTTCTCTCGATGGACGGGAATGCGTACTGGCTGGACTTTGGCGACAAAACAGCCCCTACTTGGCCATCTTCCCGACAGACGTAACAGGAGAAAGGCCAGAGTTGATACTGCTTACCGCGGGTACGTCCTATCCTGCAAAACTTTGGAACGGTTGATCTAACGACCTGCTATAGACCAAGCAGCCCATGATGCGGAAGGAATTGACGCAATGGATATTGCCCCAACAATCGAGTTGGTGACCACCATCGTGTCGGTAGCGGAATCAGCGGAGCAAACAAGTGTAGTCGTGGGTACCCGAAGCGGACATCTCATCACGGTCCAATTTACCGCGAATCCCTTTCAACATCAGATTTTCATGGAGAGACTGGGGACAGTCGCACTCGAAGTTGTACCTCTAGAAACGCCATTGCTTCCTGGCTCGGTACTAGTTTGTTGCAACGACAATCTCCTGCTTCTGAGGGACTTTGGGGCCAGACGGCTAGGTCATTTTGCCACGAAGCATCGGGTATGGGCAACCGATCTGAAGCACCCAGCGACGCCATCGACGCCTATCATCTCTGCGGCGTGCATTCCCGCCGATTTGGGCGGTAACAACCGCGCGCCACTTGTACTTTTGTCGGGAGAGCGCATGTCATTTGTAGAGCTGTATTTGCAAGCTGGGCCGGTTCCCAAGACACTGCCACTGCCCGGCACACCTGCCAAGGTGCTATACTCTCAAACTCTACAATGTTTAGTTGTTGCAGTACAGATTGGCAAGAAGCCGACTGTCCTTTTCTTGGACCCCGAGACCGGAGAAGACCTCTCTCTTCCGCAAGACAAACATGGGAATGCAACAACATTCATCAGCGGCTTGGGAAACCAAGACGACAAAATTCATGCAGTATACGACTGGCTTTTCGTCAAAGACGGCATGACATTTCATTACCTCATCGTCACGACAGCAGGCGGACGCCTGTTGCTTGTGTCTCCCAAGAAGGAAGAGAGTCATGACCCTGAAGGCAATAGGAGAACGAGGATACGGTTCTCCACCAAATACAGGATAAAGGAAAAAGCGCCCATATATTCTATTGTCGGGGATGACGACAGCATTATCTACTGTGCTGGAAAAGTCCTTCACTGGGACGTCCTGGACTCCGTCGAAAAGAGATTGGTCCGCAAAAAGACATACGAGCTGAACTCGCCCGCCATCTCACTACGGATGGTGAACGGCAAGATCTCGGCGCTCACCCTAAGCGACTCCTTGGTGATCATCGATCACAAGGCAGAGAACACACACGGCGAAATGACCCAGGTCCATGCGGATCAGGTAACGCGGAAGTCGAACCACTTCTTCGATGTCGGAGATGATGCAGACCCAGAGCTGAGTTGGCCAGTGACTCTGCTGACGGGCATGGATCGGAGCTTCACGGCAGTCTGGACTCCTTGGAAACAGCCCAAGAGAGAGCTGGAACTTGTTGCGGAAGGACCGCTGCCCGCCAGCATCAGGAAACTTCAGCGAGGCCGTGTGCGGCCGGAATGGGTGGCGACAGAACATCTGCCACGGTACGGTAGTATACCTAGCACAGTAGACGGTGCTGAGGTGTTGGGCATCTGTCTCGACGGCTCGTTGATGCACTTCAGCCTACTCAACCTTCAAGCATGGCGGTTTCTGCGACTTGTTGAGAACCTAGCGCTGAGAAGTCCACTGCTGTTTCCCTACAGCTACGAAGTGTCTGTCGTGGACAACGAGGAATACGACGCGGAAGCGAAAGACACGCCAAAGTCGATGAAGCACATTAATGGAGATTTACTCCAGCAGTGTATCGACAAGCGGGTCCTTCGGGAGATAATGGAGGGAGACAGCAACCATGACCTTTTGCGAGAGTATCTGGACGGCTTGGATGATGGAAAGTGGACAGCATCTTTTCAAGAAGACAACGACCCCCACCTCACGAGGTATTTCGATCTCGCTTACGACATTTTGGATTACTTCCTTGCGCCTGTTCTCTGAGGAAGGCCATGGGCGGAGTCCTTCTTTGCGGAAGAGGCGATGCTTTCAATGGACAATCCAGGAGAAAGCCATGAGAAGAGTGGTCAGTACTTAGACTAGTTAGTAGAAGAGCCACCCTGGGCTCCAGGAAAGAATCCGAGTCCACTTCAAAACTTCCTTAGTCCGAGATGTAACTCTACATCTGTGACATTAAAGCGAAAACCTGTACGAAATTCTCCTGGACGACTGGTGAATACAGATTTAGCTTCATCTACAATAGCCTGGATCCTATCAACGACTAGCCATTATATGTGAAGCTCTCACACACGTTGAAGCGTCTGGGTGGTCACCCACTCAGGCCACTCTTTCCCACGACCTGACTTAGAAACATAATTGTGGAGCAGGAGGGGTTAACATGGGTAGCTTTGGTGCGTTTAGCGCATGCACAACGTCGTAATGTGAGTGGACAACACCTTGATGAATTTTGTTCGCACAGTGACCAAATTATTATCGAATGCCCTACATTTTCTTTCGATGTGAGTTGGCCTCACTTGGCCTGGAGTTAAGACGAGATATCACCATGTTATGTCCAGTCAGCGGTAGCATCCCGTAGAGCTCACATTCGAAAGAGTCATATGTACACCAAGAAAGACTATCCAGGCAGGCTCGAGATTAGTCATATTATGCCTAAAAAGCAGTCATCAAATAGTGTAGTGATCGCGGGTTAAGCCGGTGAAGGCAGGTCCAGCAACCTGACCTCAGTTGAGCTAAGTCAAGTACGAAATAGGTGCCTTGGGCACTGGAAACGCACCTGCACAATCTGAGGCGCTGCAAAGACCACCGTCACATCCTCCCTGGTACAAATGACATTCATGGCTTTTGCGGCTTTGCCCACCACCAAACTTCCAACCTAGTGCACCGTACGACCAAGACGTTGCCCCAAAGCCCGAACTTTGCCCCGCAGTGAATTGCCCTCCAGTTTTCCCGCTCGAGATTTTGGCCACTTCTCTCAACGACCTTCGCTCTTTCTCCCGGTTGAAGCCCAGACAAGACGCATCGCATCGTCCGTATTATGTCGTGTCGGCCCCGACAGAATCGCATTCAGGTCTCGGTTTCGCCACCTCATCTCTTGCATCGCTGAAAGAGCCCTTTTCTATCGTGTGCCACCACCAACCATCGAAACCCCACCCCATCCTTGGGAATTTCCGTCTGTCCCTCTAGCCGTCATTCACTGGCTGGATCGCCCACACTCGGCAGCTATTTAGGGTCCCTCCTGATTTAATTCTACAAACTGGACACGGTCCTTACATAGAGACACTTCCCCAAGTCCTGTTTACGACTACCGACGTCGAATACCGTCAAGATGCCTCCCAAGAAGAAGGGCAACAAGGCTCGCGCCAACGACGACTGGGAGAATGAGCTCGGCGAGACTATCGCTCCTGCCGCCGCCGCACCCGCAGCTGATGCCGAAAAGCCGGCCGAGGGTGAGCCGGAGGAGGAGGTCAGTGGTCTCATGGCCACTCTGCGCAAGAACAGAGAGAAGAGAAAGAAGAAGGGCATCGAGGAGCCCGTAGCCGAACCAGAGCAGGAGGATGCCCCGTCACCCAGTCTTGCCGAGAAGGCCCCTCAAGAGGCGACCATGGACGATGAGTTCGCCCTGCCGGAGAAGAAGGGCAAGGGTGCCAAGGGAAAGCAGGCCCAGGCCGCTGCCCCAGCTGACGATGACGAGAACTCCGGCCGTGTCCTCACCAAGGCCGAGAAGGAGAAGCTGAAGAAGGAGAGAGAGAAGCAGCGTAAGAAGGAAAACGTGAGTTCGCAATGGCTCATTCTATCCATACGACCAAACTAACCACGCCCAAAATGCATAGGCCGCGAAGAAGAAGCCTGCTACTACCAAGGCAGAGCCCGCCAAGGCAGCAGCTCCCGAGAAGAAGGACTCCCCCACGCCCGCCGCTGCTGCCGTCGCACCCCCTCCGGCCGAAGAGAAGGGTGGCAAGAAGAAGAAGATCCCCGCCGCCCTGGCCGCTCTCCAGAAGCAGCAAGAAGAGCTCCGCCGCAGACAGCAGGAGGATGCTGAATTCGCCGAGCAGGAGAAGAAGAGAATCGAGGAGGAGGAGCGAGCCGCGGAGGAAGAGAATAAGCGCAAAGAGGAGGCCAAGGCCCTCAAGAAGCAAAAGGAGAAGGAGAAGGTTGAACAGCTCAAGAAGGAGGGCAAGTTCATGACCAAGGCGCAGAAGGAGGAGAAGGCCCGTAACGAGCGGAAGCTCCAGCAGATGCTTGCTGCCGGCATCAAGGTTGGCCCGGGCGAAGAGGGCGAGAAGAAGAAGGCCGTTTACGACAACAAGAAGAAGGGAGGCCGCAGCAAGGCGCAAGAAAAGGTAAATTTCGAGCACGGTGTGAACTTCAAGAAGTCGCTGTCGCTAACTTACTGGTTCACAGGTCGACGAGGAGAAGGCCCTAGCCGAGGCTGCAGAGCGCGCCAAGAAGGAAGCTGAGCGACTCATCAAGGAGGCCGAGGAAAAGGCCGCCAAAGAGAAGGCCGACGCGGAGGCTGCCGCTGCTGCCAAGAAGAAGGCGGCAGAAAGCGATCTGGAGGACGACTGGGAAGCAGCTGCTGCCTCTGACGAAGATGACGTCAAGGACAGCTGGGATGCTGACAGCGACGAAGAGGCAGAGAAGAAGAAGGCCGCCAATGGCAAGGCCGACAAGAAGGACGACGAGGACGACGAGGACGACGATGACTCTGACTCTGAATCTGAATCCGACTCCGAGGACGAGAAAGAGACGGCGGCCCGTCAAGCCGAACTCCAACGCAAGAAGGAGGCCGCGGAGCGCCGTGAGAAGGCTCACCAGGCCGCGTTGGCTGCCAGATCGAAGGACAACCTCCGTTCTCCCATTTGCTGTATTCTGGGCCACGTCGATACCGGAAAGACGAAGCTTCTCGACAAGATTCGGCAAACCAACGTCCAGGAGGGCGAAGCCGGTGGTATCACTCAACAGATTGGTGCCACCTACTTCCCCGTCGATGCCATCAAGGCGAAGACCGCCGTCGTTAACCCTGACGGCGCCTTCGACTTCAAGGTCCCCGGTCTGTTGGTCATCGATACCCCTGGTCACGAGTCCTTCTCCAACCTGCGCTCTCGTGGTTCGTCTCTTTGCAACATCGCCATTCTCGTCGTCGATATCATGCACGGTCTCGAGCCCCAGACTCTGGAGTCCATGAGGATGCTCCGCGACAGGAAGACTCCTTTCGTCGTTGCCCTGAACAAGATTGATCGTCTGTACGGCTGGAAGAAGGTCGATAACAACGGCTTCCAGGAGTCTCTGGCGTTGCAGCCCAAGGGTGTCCAGAACGAGTTCAAGAACCGTCTGGAGCAGACCAAGGTCGCCTTCGCCGAGCAGGGTTTCAACGCGGAGCTCTTCTACGAGAACAAGTCCATGGCCAGGAACGTCTCGCTCATCCCGACTTCCGCCCACACCGGAGAAGGTATCCCCGACATGCTGAAGCTCATTGTTCAGCTCACCCAAGAGCGCATGGTCGGAGCCCTCATGTACCTTTCCGAGGTTCAGGCTACTGTTCTCGAGGTGAAGGCCATTGAAGGTTTCGGTATGACTGTCGACGTTGTCCTGTCTAACGGTATCCTGCGCGAGGGTGACAGGATAGTGTTGTGTGGTGTTGAAGGTGCCATCACCACAAACATTCGTGCGTTGTTGACGCCCGCACCGATGCGTGAGCTGCGTCTCAAGTCCGCCTACGTGCACAACAAGGAGGTCAAGGCCGCCCTCGGTGTCAAGATCAGTGCCCCTGGTCTCGAGGGTGCTATTGCCGGTTCCCGCATGATGGTCGTCGGCCCCGACGACGACGAGGACGACATCATCGACGAGGTCGAGTCCGATCTGGCCACTCTCTTCAGCCGTGTCGAGAAGACCGGTCGTGGTGTCAGTGTCCAGGCGTCCACCCTCGGTTCCCTCGAGGCCCTGCTTGATTTCCTCAAGGACTGCAAGATTCCCGTCGCCAACGTCGGTATCGGCCCGGTGTACAAGCGCGATGTCATGCAAGCCGGTATCATGTTGGAGAAGGCGGCCGACTACGCCGTCATGCTCTGCTTCGATGTCAAGGTCGACAAGGAGGCGCAGCAGTACGCTGACGACGTCGGCGTCAAGATCTTTACCGCAGACATTATTTACCACTTGTTTGATGCCTTCACCAAGCACATGGCGGAGCTCCTGGAGAAGAAGAAGGAAGAGTCCAAGATGTTGGCCGTGTTCCCCTGCGTGCTCAACACGGTTGCAGTCTTCAACAAGACCGGTCCCATCGTCGTCGGTGTTGACGTCGTTGACGGTCAGCTGAAGATCAACACGCCCATTGCAGCTGTCAAGACCAACGCCGTCACTGGTGTCAAGGAAATCGTCAACTTGGGTAGAGTGTAAGTCCATGATCCCATTGGTCTCGTCTCTGACGAAGAAAAGGACAAGAACAATTTTGAAAGCTAACATATCCTTAGTACATCTATCGAGCGTGACCACAAGCAGATTCCCGTCTGCAAAAAGGGACAGCCCTCGGTCGCCGTCAAGATCGAAATGGGCGGCCACCAGCCGACGTACGGTCGCCACCTTGAGGAGTCCGACGTGCTGTACAGTCTCATCTCGCGCGCCAGCATCAACACCCTCAAGGAGTTCTACCGCAAGGACGTCTCCAACGACGAGTGGCAGCTCATCATCAAGCTCAAGCCCCTCTTCGACATTCACTGATTGTGCAGTATCTACTACTCCCATGTGCCTCAGAGAGAGGGAGAGACAGGGAGTCTGGAGGTGAAGAAGTATGAAAAGGTTGAATGGTATAGGAAGTGGGTCATCTGGCTGCAAGAAGGGACGGACATGAGGGTTTTTTTTTTCCAAAGAAGTGATGTATGTGGATTTCTTGTCTACGAGGTGGTTTATCACCCCTCCAAAAGCATATGTTTGTTTCCATGGTCATTCTCCAAACCAAAAAAGATCGCAAGCTGTAGGCAAAGAATTCA